AGGACATAACCCTATTGACATTTAATTACTCGTGTTATTATGGCAAAAATCGCGTTACAAACATTTTGTATAAATATTTCCTCTATTTTCCGCTGTAATTCAAGCTTATGGAATGTGTGTCAAGCTTCGAACATGGACCTAACCGCAATATTTTATCCAATTGCGTATTTTACAGAAAGGCTCTCTGCGAGGGTGACTCCAGAATATTGAAGTGCCATTTTTTTTAAATATATTTCTATAGACATAGTCTTTTATTTTTGTAGTTTTTAAAAGTATATTCTTTAATTAAATATAAATAATTTAATATTTATTAAATAAATATGATTTAAATCACACCCCGTGGTATCAAAGTTTTGCAAATGGGCCATAAATTTTCCGCATTTCCATATAGACATGCCAAATTTACAAGTGGTCAGTGGCAGCGACGCTAATGAGCCAAACGCAATGCAAATTGATGGCCCTTTTTGTCAGCCCCGCCCCATCATTCCTGTTACGCCTCCGCTGTTGTGGCTTAAGGGATTAGTATCATTATGCAGAGTTTATTTGTTTTTCTGCAAAAGTGCTGGGGGGGCATGAAATTTCACGTAATTGTTTTTAATTTCCATGCATTTTTAATTCAACATTTAGCATTTCTCGCGCGGCAGCATCCTTGTGTAAAACTCATCTAAATTCCAGCTACAGGTTATGAGACTCCTGGGGCCTCAAGGACCCTTTTCCCGAGTCCTGGAGTCGCCATTTGAGCCGCGTCTACTCGTCTACTTTAAAGTGCTAATGAGCGGGAGACGCCAGTAATTATGCAAATTTTTTAATGAGCGTGTAATTTGTGGGAAAGGTTCGAGCAACAAGTGGATCGCATCTTGGTCGATGAAAGGAGCCTTATTTTGACCTAGAACTCTCAGCCCATTTAGATACTTCGTCCTTGCTTCCTGGAACCCAAACTCCTTTATTTTGTAAGCTTCCGGCTCGGTTATCCTTTGAATGGAACTGAACTGAGCTCGTGCTACTGCTGGCAGTTGGTCTTTAGATTTATACAGATTTTGTCAAACACAACATGAATTTGCACTTTTACTCACAAAAACACACACATGCGAGAGTTCGACGAAGAAAGCGAGAAAAGAGAGAGCGGTGAAAGCCGATTTGCTGGCATTCAACTGAAGTGGCCCGCCTGCATTACGGCTAAATCCTTTTGGGCCACTTTTCACATATGGCTGAAAGAGATTTCCGCCGATTTCAAAGCCCAATTACTGTTAAAGATTTTTTTACTTTATAACTTACTTTATAACTTATAACCTTATAACATTACTTTTACTTTATTTATAAAAAACTTTCATAACCCATGTTTTCAACAATATATATTTTAATAATTTACGGCAACTGCCTTTTTCAGTTAGCCCTATGAATAAATGGCCACAGACCCTACCCATTTACCCTTTCATTCCCGACTGGTGTCAGAATGCAAATGCAGATTTTTAAGCCTTGTGGCAGTATTTATTTTTTCCTTTTTGTTGCAACAAACAGATTGTAAACAAATAAATGCCGCCAGCAGACACAGAATGCATTCAGTGGTCAGTGGTCAGGATTCAGGCCAGAAGGAATGCCTTGGGGTTGCATTGTTGCAGTGGCAGTTGTCGATGTTGCAGCTACATTTCATTCGATATTTCGTTCTCCATGCATTTCACTTTACATCCGAACATCCGTGTGGAGCGAAACCTTTTTCGCACTTAAGTGGTTAAATTGGCTGTGATAAATTGTTGCAGAGTCAAAGTTGTTGCCACTGCGGGGGGCGATGCCTCAAGTCACATGTGTGGCCGTTGGGGGTGGCTGGGTGGCGGGGCGGAAAGTGCGTGATAAGCCCACAAGGACATAAAAGTAAGAGGCTGACACTCGCTCCGCTCATCTGCTTATTCATTGAGTGCCTGGTGCTGACAGTAATCATAACGCAGTCATCAGCTCGTATTATTTCAGCCGCCTGACATATGACATCTGGGAAATGGGGGCTCCGACCTACGGCAGGCTAAGAACCTTCGAGGTGGACCATTAATATGAGAGAGGGTAGAGATACACTAACGAAAAAGCATATAGAAATCACATGTAATATATATTGGGATAAGAAATTAATTTAATAGGTACAAGATACCTAGAAAATCATCTCCAAAATCCATTTCGACTTTTATATATTTTATTTTTAGATTTTTGTATAAAATACTTACTTTTAAGTGCATTAATCATAATGGGTGATGCCTAATGGGTAACAGTTATGTGGCGGTGGCTAAAGGGGCTTCTAAGGGGTGGCTAAAAGGCATCCAATGAGCGGTTAATGGGCGGTGGGCGTGCCTGAGACTGATGGCAACCTTTTAGCTGCAGTAACCAAATTAAAAGTCTAGCCAGGAGTCGTTCATCACGATTAGCAATGGAATTATTAGCGAGGAATGCTCCACTCCACCTTTAAGTTTTCAAACAATTTCCACCGACTCCAGCCAGTAAGCAAATTTTCGCGCTTATCGCTTCACTCACATCAGACAATCTTGATGTGCATATCATTTTTATGGGCAATTCATGCAAAATGCTTCCCATTGCCAACAGCAGAAGGAAGAACCGCAATGGCCAAGTCGACAATGGCGGGTAGTACTTATGGCTATATGGCATTGGTAAACACCCTTCCAGAAAATATACAATTTATAAAAACTATGTGCTAGGCTATACGAGAAGGCTATAACTAATATCATCTTTTAAAGGAAATTTGATTTAAAAAATAGTTTAAAAAACCAATTCTATGGAAAAGTAAGCCATTTTGTGTTCATTTCTTTAGTCCTCTTGGTCCTTCGAGCCTCCTCTTCGGGTTGCGTTTTTTTCTTACCTTGTCGGCTGACCGAATGCATTTGGAATTTATAGGCAAAGCTACAGATATTCACATTTTCGTAAGTACTTTGCGATTTTATCAAAAATATTAAAGCTTCAGGTCTTTGGACTTAGATCTTGAGTTTTTTTAGTTTAGTTATTTAATAAATGGACTATAATTATACTAAAAAGACCTAATCTCATGAAAATATCTGTAAGTGTGTGTATCTATGTGTCTAAATATCCGAGTGTTTTTTGCAAACCTTGTATCTGCAACCGAGGCAAACAATGGGAATGTAAATTGTTGCTATGTCTTTGTTCGAGTTTTTTGGTTTTTTGACAGGAGCGCATATTCGGCAGGCCTGTAAAAGGATTTGTTTCCTGCCGACGTTTGTCGGTCTAGGTTTTTGTTGTTATATCCTTCACCCATACAATGCAGGGGTATATTGGATTTGGGAACAAATAACATATGAAACCTAAAATATTAAAATATGGAAAATATAAATCTCAAAGCCTAGACATTGGGTCTCAAAATTATAAAAGTTTTGTGAGAAGTGCCGGGTATTAGTATTGTCCTTACTTTGAAAACTTAATTCCTGGTTTTTTGTTCAGCTCTTTTGCGTAACAACATTCGGACTTTGGCTTTGCAGTTCGCTTAGTTTTCATTGTCACAGAAGTCGTTGTCATAGCGCGGTCATCAAATTTTTTGTTCATTTGCATACGCTAGCCAGTCGGCCATTTGTTGGGTGTTTGGTGTTGGCGATGGTGCTGGTCACGTGTCCATTGCACTCCCATCTGGACTTGGACGAGAAGGACTTGGACTTGCTCGTGACATTGACGTATGAATGCCTCATAAATACATTCACACACATTCCGGTGGATATGGTCAACTAGGGAGTGCTCCGATCCGGGGTTCAACGACCCACAAAATCCCCAATAAAACTGGCTTCATTAGCCGCCATTAGCCGGCTTTGTCTGAAATTGTACAGAAAAATACTAGAAATAGAGACGGGAAAAAGCAGGAAGCAAAAAACAGAGACAAAATAGGGCCCGAAGCTGAACGGACACATGGCCCATTTGCCTTGGCCAGAGCTGGAGATGGAACTGGAGTGCGTGTGGTGGTGGCTTGTCATTAAAGTTTCATCAACGCCGCAAAATGAAAATGGAACACACAACAAACTCGGCTTAGCAATTCAAAAAATCCCTCTCCTTCCGACCTACAGAAAACTTTCGAACTCCCCGAAGGCCAAGAAGGATTTTGAGGGGGGCAGAGGTCCTTCCTGATATTGTCATTACATGCTTCGGGGGATATTTCTGTGGTGTAACCAAGGCAAATGTACTTTTGACAGTCCAACTCCTGAAAGGGTTGACCAACCCTCCATGGTCGACCCCCGTGACCCCGACAAGCAACCGCAACCCAGAAAAGATTTGTTTCCGAGTCGAAACAACAGATGCTTTTTGCTCTCGAGATGAGGACATCTCCCCATTCAATTGCTCCAAATTGGTTTGCTTAATAGTTTCGAATCCGGTGCCCCGGATCAGCAGCAATAAATGTTAGGTAAGTATTTAAATATTTATTACGGTATTTTGGTGTGACTATCTGGAGTAGCTTGAATTTCAGCAGCCACCTTGGCCAATAAATTTGACTTGTTAGCTTAATTCTATTAATCTAGGGTAGAGAATATTAGCTGGAAAGGGATTGGAAAATAAAGTTATCGAATTTTTTATGTTATAATATTTAAACAACTTTTAAGAAAATTTTTGTTTTGAAAGTTAGCTTTAGCAACATGTTGCGGAACTTTATTGAGCAACATTTTGTGGAACCCAAGTATTTAAAATAGAAATAAATAAAATGATGAATTTCAAATCAATTTTCCAAGTTATCATTAAAATATTGAATATTAGGGGCTTGGCCAATTCTGTTATATTTGTTTCAAATGTTAAAACAACAAAATATGTTTATCTTTGATAAGCTATTGTAAATTATATTTTTATTTATATTTTTTTTATCAAATCGAGATTATTTTTAAACCGACTAGCTTTAGGGGGACCTGTCTTTGATAACACTTGGCCAAGATTATCGGTGCACATCGAACGGTAATAAATGCCAACGCTTGCGATTAGCATAGGCGGTTCTTAGTTGGCTCAGTTGGATCTTGGCCATGATCCTGACCACCACATTCGTGTGCTTCTGCCTGGCTTCGGCCTTCAATTACTTCAGGACCCGCAGGCAGAGGTCGCTGATCAGGAATCTCAAAGGACCCATCACCTGGCCGCTAATGGGATCGATTCAGAAGCTGGTGTTCCTGAGCCCAAAAAGTTCGTTGGTTGTAACATTAAAAACTTGATTAACTTTAGGCAGATTTCTTCAAGCAAAGCAAGGACTATCTGGCCAAGTTCGGCCTCTTCAGTCGCTGCTGGATTTTCCATCGACTCTTCATTCCTCTGGCAGATCTTGAACTCACCAGGCAGCTCCTGGAAAGCGAAAAGAATTTGGAAACAGGCTGTGAACTTATGAAGGATTGGTTGAAAGGCGGTGTTCTTATGTGCCACCAGGATAAATGGCACCATCGTCATGGCCTTATTAGTCGGCTTTTCACAAAAGGAAATATGGAGCAGCTCACGGATTTGTGTCGCAAGGAAGCGGAGGCCCTACTTCCCAAACTTTCGGAGCGGGCAGATCAAGAGGTTTTCGACATTTGGGAGGTTATTTCTCCAAGTATTTTAAACCTAATGATGCAAGTGACTTGCGGTGTAAGCCCCAGTGATAAATATGCCAAAGCCCTACACGAGTAAGTCGGTAAAATTTTGTGTCCCCTTGAAAATGCATGAGACCCCCAGTACGGCCCATAGCGATAGCCATATCTTGGCCAATAATTATCCGATTTCAAAGCGGAATACCTTAAACGATTTGTAGATCGATTCTCTTTTAATCTCCATCAAAATCTACAAACAAAATATTTTTTAGATTTTTTGTCAAATTTTCTGGGTGACCCCCATGGAAAATCGTGAAAATGCATGAGACCCCCCGTATGGCCCATAGCGATAGCCATATCTCGGCCAATAATTATCCGATTTCAAAGCGGAATACCTTAAACGATTTGTAGATCGATTATCTTCTAATCTCTATCAAAATCTAGAAACAAAATATTTTTTAGATTTTTTGTCAAATTTTCTGGGTGACCCCCATGGAAAATCGTGAAAATGCATGAGACCCCCCGTATGGCCCATAGCGATAGCCATATCTCGGCCAATAATTATCCGATTTCAAAGCGGAATACCTTAAACGATTTGTAGATCGATTCTCTTTTAATCTCTATCAAAATCTACAAACAAAATATTTTTTAGATTTTTTGTCAAATTTTCTGGGTGACCCCCATGGAAAATCGTGAAACCTAAAATATTTCTATTACAGTTTAACGGAACTTTATAGGAAGCGTTTTCTAAGTCTGCAGTCTGCCAATCGCTTCAACTATTGGCTAAGTTGTCCATTCATGAGGAGGAGGCAAAATAAACTCATCAAAATCTTAAACCAAGAGCACAAGGATTTAATATCAAGACACCGGCAGCAGCAGTTGAAGAAAGTCAATGGCTTGGAAGGCAACCCTTCGGAGCCGTTGCCTCAAATTTGTCACGAGCCCCTTTTGAAGATTCTTCTGGAAAGCCAAGATCCTCAACTGACTGATGAAGAAATTTTTGCCGAATTGAATACATGCAACTATTTGGGATATATACTTTGCAGTTCAGCGCTATGTTTTGCTATTGTCTCGATCGCCAGAAACCCTACAGTGCAGCATAGCTCTCTGGAGGAGTTAAATAACTCTATAATAGATCATAAGGAATGGCGATTGGAAAAGCTTTCTTATATGGAGGCTTTGCTACTAGAAAGTCTAAGGCTTTACCCACCTCAAGTTATTCTTCAGCGCCAGCTAAAACAGGACTTTCCCTATAGTGCGTATGAGTGATAAATTAATTAAACTTTCTTTTATTAAAAGGTTCATTTTCTTTCCACAGCCCATAGCGTGGTGGGAGATGCTGTGTTGCCCCATGGAGCTGAGATTTACGTAAATCTCTACGAAATGCAACGCCTTGAAAATCGCTATCCAGAACCGAATAATTTCCTGCCTGAACGATTTTTGAATAACTCTACGGAGCTTTTGAGTTTCGGCCTGGGATCACGTAGTTGCCCTGCCAAAAAGTTCACCTTTAATTTGTTAAAAGCCTTTTTGGCTCCCTTGGTCACAAATTTTGAACTTCTTCCCTATGGAAATCAATTACGATTAAACCTTCGTCTTGTTTTGGGTTCATCCAATGGTTTTCAGTTGGCTTTAAAACAAAGAAAGTAATTAAAATATAATTATTGTTAAAAATACGTCTTTTAATTTTTTATTTAAGAGAAGGTGTAGTTTATGCCTTTAAAGCTCAGTTCGCTTTCGCATTCCCAACTGGAAGCCCGTGTCCGAACGCAGGACTATATTTACAACGCATTCCACAGGATCACCCAGGGGCAGGAGCTTATACTCCCGCACGATCTTGGCCAGCATCATCTTCATCTCCAGCTGAGCAAACTTCTGGCCAATACAATTTCTTGGTCCAGCGCTGAATGGCACCATATGAAATGGTGGCACGCGGTCTCCAGTCTCAAATCTCTCTGGATCGAATTTTTCCGGATCAGGGAAGGTTTCCGGTTGACGATGGATGCCGTAGATTCCGAGAACGATCTCAGCACCAGCCGGAATAATTCCATCGCCATGCTTTGAATTGGCTAACCAAATATTGGAACGTGTTAAGGATTAAAAACCATATTATATGAAGAGTACTTACTATACTTGAAGTCATTCACAAGTTTGCGACCCACAATAGGCACTGGCGGGTACATCCTCAGTGACTCCTTGATGACACTCTCCATGTACTTGAGTTCCCCCAGATCCCTTACTGTTACCGGGCGACTCCGATCTGTGCCTATGACCCGCAAGATCTCCTCCAACAACTTTTCCTGCACCTCTGGGTGCCTTGAGACTTCATACAGGCAGAAGGACAGAGCGCTAGTGGTGGTGTCATGACCCTCGAACATGAAGGTGTCCACCTCCTCGCGGATCTCATCGTTAGTCAAGGGCTTGCCATCCACAGTGGCCATCAGGAGAACATCTAGTAGAGCCATCCGCTGCTTAGATCCCACATCATTGGAGCTTTCGTCCGAACGGGAACTCTTCTGCTGCTCCTCCAGAGCCTGGCGGCGCTGCTCGATCACCTTGATGGTGAAGTCATGCATAGTGCGGATGAGCTTCATCTGTCGCCACTTCAGGTGCGGGTGGGTCAAAGTAAACAGAATCTCGCTCTGAAGGTACACCGACATGAAACGCCAACTCATCATGGCAGTGCATCTGCAAGATAAGGAAACACTCTTTATATTCCTGATTTGAGGGGCTCTTAAGATTATAGATACTCACTCATTGACAGCTTCTGCATAGGGTGTGCTGTCCTTGGACTGGGCATATATTTTAGTTCCCATGGCCGTTTCCGCAATAATATCCAAGGCTGCCAGACATACATTTTTGTAGACATCGAAGACCTGTCCGTTGGCCTTTTGCGCCAACCTTTGGACACAGACATTGGACTGCTGGTCAAAGACTTCCACAAACTGCTCCAGAATGGAGAAATGGAAAGTGGGCGTTATGATCTTGCGGCGCTGGTGCCACACCTTTCCATCGCTGAGGAGCAGTCCGTTTCCCAACCACTGGGACAAGACTCGGTAGACCGGATGCTTCACGAGGTGCTCTTGGCTGCTCAAGAGCTGCTCGTTGAATTCCGCATTGGCGCTCATGATCAGTAGGCGATTGAAGACCCAGACTCGCTGAAGATCTCCCCAACGACGGCTATATTCTCTGGTTTTTTTAAGGAATGCTGCAAAAAATTGGTTTGTTAAATATATCTTGTTTGACCTTTATATTTTAATAATATTTTTAAGTCTTATCTATACTTTTGTTTGTCCAAACTGGATTAAAGTTCACGGAGGAAGCTTGGCGTTCCTTTATTGCACAAAAATTCGCATTGATAAGAAACATTTATGACGGCGGTCATTCAGATTTGGATTATCGAAGAAAACAATAACAATTCTGCAATCTTAACTAAATGTTTGTCGGCAAAAAACTCTGCTGGAGAGTATGTATATTTAGGTTTAGATTAAGTATTCTTTGATAATCGACCAACTGTTTACCTACATATGTATATTATTTTTAAACAAGTTCCTTTAACCTTATCTTAACTAAGCATTAGATATATGTACATATATTGTTTAGTTATAAAGTAGTTCTATTTTAGTTAAAATAGTTATATTTTAAGGCAAAAATCCGGTTTAAAGTAAACCGGTTGCATCAGAATATATTTTTCTTATTAATATTTATTAAAATGTCAAGACGAGTAAAAACTTTCATTCTCACGTGACATAATCTATAAAAATGTATTATAAAAATATATATTATAAAAAAAAATGTAAACAAAGGGACAATAATGAATATAATTGTTTATTCGTTTCGTTGAAAAGGCAATAAAAATAAAAATAGTCACGAACACCACTTTAAACAGAAACAGCTGCATTTGCAAAAGTTGTGATTAATATTTTATACTATATATATTAATTTTCATATTTTAAAATATTTTGTATTATAGTACTTTAAAAATGGCATATGTATTCGTACATTTTAATAATTATGGTAAAATATAATATTCGCATTTCACTTTTAAAGATTATATTTCTTCTTTTACCTTTTTATCTAAAAATATTTATATTCACTTACAATATATTCACTTACTTTTTGGAGTCATGCCTATCATGAGATGGAGGGCCCCCAACAAAGGAGGACAATACGGACCCGGCAAATTGGAAACCGCCCTCCGGCGCCGCTCCTGCCCCCGATGGAAGAGCCAGGCGGCCGCCAAGAGCGTAACAACCAGCACCCACAGCAGCATTTTGCATTCTGAATCGCCTCGGAACTGGCCAGCCGATCCGAGTAATTCCACCCGATCCGACGAACGCAGCGGACGTGCCTCTAATCGAATCGGAGTCCAAATGTAACTTCTTAGTGCAATCGGGGAGCGATTAATGCGCTAATCTGTCGCTACTATTCTAATCAACAAGCTAATGAGGCGGTCTTTTAAAAGCGGGTAATTCTGCTAATTATTTCCAGCCCAAGAGAACGATAATAACAGCCCTATTGACACTTTTTTCCTCATTTTTTGTTACTTTTGTTTTTTAAGTAATTTCCGTTAGAGACATTCGTGCGGAAATTAAAACATTTGAGCCAACGGGTCGACCAGGGCCAAGCGAGGGCCAGTAACTGCATAAATGGATAGATGGATGGGTAGATAGATGGCCGGTCTCTGACTGGATGGCGGGATGACTGGATGGATATGGGTTTGCTGGCTGACTTCGAAAAAACTAATTAACAGCAGCTTCCTGGGTCGGGCAACTTTGACTTTTCCATGGTATTTTATTATTTTAAATATATGTATATACAGGACTCGTAGTCGGACTCCGTACGAGTATGCAGATGGAAGTGAAAAGTGTTTTTAATTGCAGACCAAATGTGGATTTTCAATTTTCACAATGACTGGTATAAATAAAATCCTCCGGGTTTCAAGGCTCGTCCTGTTTTTTGTGCGTTTCTGTTTCAGCTTCGGTTTCTGTTTCAGATGCTCTTCTGTGCCGGCACAGAAAGATTTTCCACATTAATGTTGCATATTAAAAATGCAATTTGTTGCATTAATTGCAGCATGTGAAATGTATCGGACAATGCGAGTGATACGCCAGAGCTGCATCCCCCAATCTTCAGCCCTGTTTCAGCCCAAACGAAGCGTACAAGTCACGTTCGTCTCATATGCCGACAGACAACGGGGCGTATGCGTAACGAGGGAGATTGTAATAACTGAGGAGAGGGGAATCGAATAAGGAATGGGGAGGTGATGAGGAGTGGGCTTGGAATTTCCATTGCAGGATATCAAGGACCCTTTAAAGACTACCCATAACGAACTCCTGCACAAAGAATTTATTTTTCGCTTTATTTACATATTATCCACAAAAAAAACAGAGCATCTCCCAAATAGATTTTGGTTTTGGTTCTGGGTTAGGACGTAACGGTCTCGAAGGTGGATACTTCTCAATAGCCTTTTCGGCCAGAGAACGAATTCCCAACCAAGACTCCTGAACCAAGCCGCGAATCGCATAGTTCGGCGGGAAGAACTTGTGCTCCACTCCGTTCTGGTCCGTTCCGGACATCTCGAAAACAAATGCCAGGGGGAATCCCGCATAAAATGCGTAGTCCAGGCTGGTTCCTCCCATCATTCCACCGTAAAAGAAAGCCTGCTTCGTTTTTATCTTAGTACCAGTGCTCCAATATATCCGATCAGAGGCATATTTGGCAATCTCTATATGCTCTGCCTTATTATTGGTGGCATGACTGTAAAAGAAACGAGATTAAATTGGATACTAACAACTCTGAACGTCAACACCGACCCATCATAAACCCACGGATAAAAAATCGATTGATTGGCCGTGTGCAAAGAGAGGTACATTAATCCACGATTAGTCTGAACCAGCTCATGCATAATGTCGCGCACTGTCCTCGTCTCTATTTCGGAAAAAGGTTTACTTCCGGCGAAATGGTCGCTGCAGGGATCTTTCAAGTCCGGATATCCCTCTCCCCAGGAGATGTTAAAATTTCGGTTGAGATTTGTACCATAACAGTATTCGTTGTTGGGGGATCTGTTTGTTCGCCAAAAGTTTTCCAAATTTCGGGAATACTCGTATCCATCTGGGTTGGCTAGGGGCAGCAAAACCCAGTCGTACTCATCCAAAAGGTGGGAGTTGACTTCGTACTCCATAATCAACTGGTGGATAACATATAGGGCTGTGATGGGGCAGAGCCACTCCCGCGCATGAAGGGCGGCATCGATGAATATAGCCCTCTTATTCGGTCTTCCATCTCCATTGGAAATAACCGCCATTTGCAGCTTGCGGTTCTCGTACGTACGTCCCACATCTCTCAGATGAATCCGATTTCTGTGAATCCAAGCTAAATCCTTTAAATACTTCATTATATCCTCATAGCTGGGGTATTCATCCAAATTGATCCTCGGTTCCTGCGGCGCTCTTTTGCGGCGAAAGGATCGTCCCTCTACATGGAAACTGAAGACTGTGAAAATCACGGCGATCGCAAATACAGCACGCCACATCATTCCGCCAAAAATGATCACGACACACTGAATCAGACAGATCGTATTTGTTATATTTCAGGCTTAGCAGATAACAGGGGGAATTCCATTGGGCTTTAATCTGTGATACCCTCGAACAGCTCGGCTTGAGATTATTGTATTAAACTTAGTATTGTCTCTACAGCAATCCCATTTAAAAAAAAAAAATGTTTTTTTTAAGTCTTTGGTTGAGTTTTTGTTTAATTACAGATAAAATATTTGTTTAAGTCGTCATTTTATAGAAACAACATAACTGTAAAGGATATGCCATATGTCTATGCCATTTAAGTTTCTGATTGTTCCAGCTTTAAAGATTAATTTAATCTATAAAGCCATTAATTAATAAACAGACAACCATAATTCCTCAAATTAATATTTATTCTAGGAATTTTTTATTTCTGAAATAATCATAAGAACAATATTTATGTTTTTCTTTGGTATTTTAAATAAAATAAATTTTTAAGTCAAGCTCTGATTAATATAATAGTAGCTTTTAAAAACCTTTTGTTGTGAAACCATTTTTTGGTTTTACTGGAAGGTATATTATTTTAAACTCCCCCAAGTTAGCTTCTATTTTTAGTTTACTCTGTATTTATTTATTTTCTTTTAATGAAATGGTACTATTTAATGATGAGACAGCTTTTAAGGTTTCCGATGAAACGCTAGTTGAAGTAACATTTTGTGGTAACTCTGTTTGACCTGTTTGAGATTTTGGTTTTGTTTTTTGATTTGGCTTAGAGGTAGGTTTAGATGTTGGTTTAGGGTTGCGTTTAGAATTAGTCTTAGGTGTAGGTTTAGAGTTGGGTTTTGGATTAGGTTTACGTGTGGGTTTACGTGTGGGTTTTCGTGTAGGTTTTCGTGTGGGTTTTCGTGTAGGTTTTCGTGTAGGTCTAGAATTACGTTGTCGGTTTGGTTTTGGCGGAACAATTCTTGATAGTTCCATCGCCCTTTCGGCCAGAGATCGTATTCCCAACCAAGACTCCTGAACCAATTCGCGAATCAGCACGCTCGGCGGGAAGAACTTGTGATCCACTCCGTCTCGGCCCATACCTGACAGCTCGAAGGTGAAGGCCAGGGGGAAGCCTAATCTGTCAGCGTAGTCCAGGGCGGTTCCTCTTCCATAAAAGTACCTGGGTACTTCTTTTATCCGCGTACCAGTACTCCAGTATATCCGATCGGTGGCATATTTGGCAATCTGCTGATGCATTATGTTTTTCTTGGTAAAATTGCTGGAAAAGAAATGTGATTTGGTTTCAGCATGACTTAAAACATTAAAACCCACCTTTTCTTATTCCACGGATACAGAATCGATCGATTGGCAGTGTGCAGTGAGAGGTACATAAATCCACGTTTAGAGTCCACCAGCTCATCCAAAATGTCACGCACAGTCCTCGACTCTGGCTCTGAAAAAGGTTCACTGCCGGCGAATTCCTCGCTGCAGGGATCTTTCAAAGCCGGAGAATCCTTGGCCCAGAGAAAGTTGAAGTTTTTGTTCAGATTCGTTCCATAACAGTGTTCATTGTTGGGGGATCTGGTTTTGGTCCAAAAATTGTCAATATTTCTCGAATACTCGTATCCGTCAGGATTGGCGAGGGGCAGCAAAACCCAGTCGTAGTCATCCAACAGGTAGGAGTTGACCTCGTACTCCACTAGCAACTGGTGGATAACATATAGGGCTGTGATGGGGCAGAGCCACTCCCGCGCATGGAGGGCGGCATCAATGAATATAACCTTCTTGTTCGGTCTACCATCTCCATTAGAAATAACCGCTATCTGTAGCGTCCGGTTCTCGTACGATCGCCCAACATCTCTCAGATGGATCCGGTTCCTATGAACCCAAGCCATGTCCTTTAGATACTTTACTATATCCCCATAGCTGGGGTATTCATCCCAATTAATTTGCGGTTTCTGCAGCTCCCTTTTTCGAGAGGATCGTCCCTCCACAGGGGAACTGGAGACTACGAAGATCGCGGCGATCGCAAACAGAGCTGCTCGACACATCATTCCAGCACCAATGATTGAGAAACACTGACTGAAATGGACCATTCGGCTTAATTTTTTTTGCTGATAACAAAGGAAAGAGAATTTTTTTATGGGGTTCTTTTGCGACTTACTCGGATGCAGATTAAAAAACTCTTACTATGAAATTTTTTTTTAAATTAAAGTTCTCTGTAAAAACTTATCTGTATATAAGTTATATACTTATAGTATATTTATTTAACATTATTCCTATTGTTGTTTCAAATTATCTAAATAAAAGCTCTGATTCATCGGAATTAACGCAAATAAAATTTGGATTTCGTGGAAACTATTTTGCGCCAAAGTACCAGTAGAAAAACCCAAAATGCTGGAGAATTTATAAAGTTTCTTGTCTTTTGCAAAACGTTTTTATCTTCCTTGACGGTTGTTGCCGTTTTGCGGTTTCAAAGGCCATTAAAAAATGTAATTATGTTGATAAATACGTCTTACTGGGCATTTTTATTTTGCCAACTTTCCTTCGTACGAAAAGATCCTGAATATGGAGGACCGGCCCTGTGCCGGAATGGGGGAAACTTTAGCCGCAGCGGCTAAACAAAAACCAACAACTAGCGGCTTGGCCTTTCTTCATCTCGTGTTTATTTTTGCTCCCTTTTGCATTTTGTTGGATGTTGCAACTTTTCAGCCAACAAATTTACTTGCCACGGACGCAAAATATTTTATCATTGCGCCTTTTAGCACTCAAGTGGCGGATAGAATCGCCAGCAAGTAAGGAGGGTGGTAGCCGGCTCCTAGAGGTCCTGAAGGATGCTGGACTTTTTGCATTTAAGCAGAGTTTATGGCTCTATTTTTGCAAATTGTTGCCTTTGCCATTCTTTTTCAATTTTGTTTGGACAGAGCCAAGTTTCTAACCGCTTTTTGGGTAATCATTTTGGCCATTACTTTGATGGCTAGCTAATGAAGCTATCATTTCAAAAACTATGGAGAAAAAACGTGGCTATTGCGACTTTTCAATTTCCTACTCCACTTTTCCGATGCAAAATTAATGAGGCTGCAAAAATTTGATTTCAATCTTCGATTACGACACTCGATGGCCTCCAATACGATGTCCTCCAATGTGCATAATTTACGAGGAGGAGAAAAATCTTATTAGTTCATAAGCCGTGCCATTTCATAGCGCCTCCTTTTCGTTCTGGGTCTCTTGTGTCCTAGGTCCTTGGTCCTGGGATTGCAATGCGAGTCACGTAGCTACCATGTCCGATTTTTAAGTTTGCGCTGCACAAATCACGTCCTCAACCCACTTGGAAGAGCTGAAAAGCACGAACCCTTGTAAGAAGCCAAGCTAATGTCCTACTTGGGGCTATTTGTAGTGTGCACTTTCTGTGGATTTTTATGATTTGTTTACGCTGCCTCTGGACGTGAGTGATAAGCGGAAATCCAATGGAAAACAAGTCAATGGAAGCCCTTTTTTCCAAGTGGCATGGACATGATGATGCAATGTTGATAATGGGGCAATTACAAAGATGAATGGGGCTTCACTGAAATCTGATCATGAAAGGAATCAAAAGATTATGATACACAATTTTAGGGTTTATTATTAAAACATTTATTTAAAAGCTTATTACTTAAAGAACAATTAGAAACCATAGTGAGTGCCGAATCCATCGAAGCTCATGTGCGATACGGTCTCGGCGGGGGAGTAGTGGATCACAGCAGGCTGGTGAGCGACCACGGTGCTGGGAATGTGGGCGGGTTGATGGTAAACCGAAGGAGCCTCCACATGGGCAGGGTGGTGGTACACAGCCGGAGCCTGGACATGAGCTGGCTGGTGGTAAACATCAGGAGCCTGGTAATGAGCAGACTGTTGGTAAACAGGAGCCACTGGAGTCGCTTGGGTGAAGAGATTCGAAGGTTCGGCGTGAACCGCAACTGGGGCAGGAGCTGGAGCATAGGAGAAGGTCTTAGCCACCGTCGGCTGGTAGACATTATTGCTGATCCTGGTGTCCTGTTTGTGCACCTGTGAATAAGGTGTGGCCACCGACTTGGCGTAGTGGGAGACGGTGCCGTCGAAGCTGCGCACCACGTTCTGCTGGGTGTGGGCCACCGCGTGCTCGTCTCCAGTTCCCAGATAGCTGATAGGCTGGGCGATGATTCCTGCCCATGTGGGCGCCAAAAGGAGCAGCAGGCTGGCGGCAAGGCTGATGATTTGAGACATGTTGATTCTGTGGGGCAAGTGCGGCAACTGTGGCTGACTGGATTAGCCAATGGAGCATATATAGGCCAACAATTACTCATAATCGCCGGCACTCGCCCTCGCAATGCCAAACTAGTTTGTGGCTTTGGGGCCGGCTTTGCGTGACTTTCAGAAATCCATTTCTCTAGCCCTCGATCGTGGCAAATCAATTCACAATTGCCCCAGCTCCAAGTGACAGCCAACAGTCCGTAGAAAGGGCGTGTCGACGACCCAGTTACACGTCTGGCAATTGCATAATGCTCCCGGACCCGGCTGAGGTCGCCGCACTTGCTCCGCATTCCGGCCAGCGATAGTACTCGGATGAGGGCAACAGCTCACCGCAGAAGTGCCATCAAGTGCTGGGCTCACGGTCATACGAATAGCCAAACATCCAAACCTCCATAAAGGCCAGCGCAATTTATGGCCCATCGGAGATGCATTAACGCCGCTGGAAAATTGTTAATGCATTTTCGCTTTCGGGTTTCTGGTCTCGGCTGCTCTTCATGCCTTTCAATTTCGAGTGCCACAGTTTCTGATAAGTAAATAAATACAAACATTGTATATATTATATATCACCTGATTGTAAGTTTATTTTTGGCAGTGGCAGCAGTAAAGTAGAGTGAATCTTGGACTTGTCGTTCGAGGTTTAAGGTTAAAATTTTGATATCTTTAATATATAGAAGAATCTAGATCTTTGAAGTGTTAAATTTCCTAACTAGACATTGTCACAGATGTTGCAATACACCCACTCATTCATCGGCCACAATAAGAGTTATCCTGCTAGAGACTCTGTTTCCGTTTCCGTTTCATTCTCAATGGACCGACACTCGACTTGAAGTTGCCTCTCTGATTCTGATTCTGATTCTCCAGCTCGTCCATAAAATCGTTCAACTCACAATTGAGTCATAATGCAATTGGCAAACGTCAAGCAAATGTTGTTAACTTGCCAAAGGAGACTGGCCCAGAAGGGGAGCGGGGGTTTGATGATAAAAGGACCGAGAGATGGATGGAAGATGGCCAAGTGTTGGGACATTGTTGCCTTGACCGGAGTGACGGTGCAGGAAAAGTTTGGCGCAATGAGAATGGACACACACTCGTAAATATCAAATGGCATCAACATCTCGGCGCCAAATGTGATTACGATTACATCGATTGCGAGGAAAACTTCAGAAAGTCACCTTTGTTGGTTCCGAAATCAAGGCACAAGGACAGAAGGTGTGCTTGGGTGCGTCCATTATGGTCCTCATGAAATTTGGCACATAAATTGTATTATTGCATTTATGCTTGATTTTATTTCCTTGGCTCTCGGCTCTGCTTTTCTTAGCCGATTGTGTGTTGTGAGTATGGAATTGGCTTTCGAATTATTTCTTCTTTTTTTTTTATTTTTGGCTCTTACGTGGTCTAAAGTGGATTCGTCTTCGTTTACGTCTGCGTTGTCGTCTGACTTAACGATTTATTGAACTGACAGGAATCACATGTGAGTGCTTACATTTCAACGGTTTCCTTTTCCTTGGCCTGTCGACGCTTTTTGCCGCCTTTCTTCGACTCTTGCGCCAACGCAATTTGAACTTCAATTAGCTGCATTTGGCCATGGCTAATAAACGTGGCTCTCCCACGACCCCTGACTCCCCGACCTGCCTCTGCTCCTCATCCTTCGTGTTGATATACAATTACAAATGACGCGTCAGGGCCAGGCCGAAAGTCAATTACCAAAGTACACGGTCAAAAATGGGGAATGTTTGTAAGCTAAAAATAAATGCAACATTTTACATCAAGTAATTGACAGAATTTATGTATAAAGACTTTTTTTTCAGTGCATATGAGAGTGAAAGAAAAGAAAAGTAGCATAAAAGCCACCGCCTCGTTGGCTAATTGGAATTGAAACATAAATTAAGCGTCTCATTCGAGGGCCAAGAAGGCGGAATGCAACTAAAACTTTACGACTTCTTCACTTTGGCCAATTCTGAACGTAACGGCCGCATTCACGTGCCGTTCTGCAATTTTACGTTTTTTGTCGTAATCCCCCGCCAATTACGCTAGTTTCCCCAATTGTTGTAGTTGTTGTGTATGGGAGGTGGTACTGTTACTGTTGCATCCACATTGACAGCTTAGATTAAGTGTTGCCAATAAATACTTGGCCAACTCGGCTAGTTGGAGCTTGTATTTATGAGCCAGCACAGTTGCCATTTGGCAGGTCGAAATTATTTACTGGTAATTACAAGTAACCACATGGCTATTTTTTCTTTCCAACACACTTAGAAGGAACTTTTCGGAGTTATTCTCAAATGAAGTATGTATTTTTTACATACTAAAGTATTAAAGTTTTCTTAAATAATCTCTAAAACTATAAGATATTCCTATATGAATGCTCGGGTGTTGTATTGCCAATCAGCTGCAACCACAATGCCCACACCAAAGAATATCCCACCCCAGAACCCATCCCATCACAGCCCCACCGCCCCACTGAATACCAGAAGCTCCTTTGCTCTCGGTGCTTTATGGCACAAAAGGGACTTGGCTTCAATTTTCTTTATATTACAGCTTGATTTAATTTGACGTGAGACCTGCTCCGGGGTCCTGTTCTTGACCAGACCGAAATTAGAAATGGAATCATGCCGTGCGGATGGGCGGGAGTTCAACTTGATTCCGATTCCGGTTTGCAAGAAAGGACTACAAGTCGCAATCGGAGAAATTCAAATGCCTTAATGCTTAATGAAAATATGAACAATTGGGAAAAAAGCAAATGTCATTTGCCAGCTGCCAGGGTCAGGACCTTAAGGGGTGGCTGGCTGATCGCCTCGATTGATATAATTTCATTAAGCGACCTTCGCTTCCACCTTCCCTGTGACCGCTTGGGGAAAATGTTCAAAAACAGGACCAAAAATGGGGAAAAACGAAATGAAAAGTAACGGAAAATGCCCGTTTTATAACAAATGGAAAACGGAAAACTGGAAGTAGTAGCCCCCACCAAATATTAAAAAAAAAAGAGGAAAATGATAATGAAAATGAAAATACATAAACAGAATCGTTGACAAGAGCGGCGAGGGTGGAAACAATATACACAGTACTTAGATATAGAGGCTGCTGCGTGGAAAACTCATTAAAACTTTTTTACAGCCCATTTAAGAGCAATTTGTAAATTGTAAAACTTGTTCTTGGGCCACGAGGAGTTTGTTACAAATTTCTATAATTATTATTTATAATTTCTTAAGAAAAAGTAGGTGAACTTCAGAACTTAAGAAGTTCAAACATTTCTTTTTTAAAAGAGTTATGTTATTTTAATCCCAAAAATTCTTATAGACTAACTAAATAAAATGTTTACTATATAAGCATTATAGTTATTTTAAGCAACACTTATCCTTTACGCTTAAAATTTAAAATATTACCCGAAAATCTGCCAGCTTCCATTTTCTTCTCATCTCCAAAGGGAAGTGCCCGTCGAAATCACTTTGGGGCCTTGGAAGAAGGGCCCACAATCGCAGACATTAAATCCAATTTCCGCACATTTCTGGCAACGGGGTATGCGAAAAATTGTGTTAGCTGCGGTTGACTTTGCCCCTGCTGAACCACCTTCTGCTGCTGCCACACCGCCACTTAAATATTCAAAGCGAAAAGTCGGCCCCCACCTTCGCGTCTTGGCCGACTTTCCCCAGTTTTCCGTGTTTTCTTTTTCCTATTATTCAAACGCCGCTTTTCATGTGCAGTGCCGAAAAAATTCCCACAGGATGCAGTCAAAGGGAGCAAAGGTTGGTGATTTGGCATTTTCGGGGTGAATGGGGATGGAGGTTATAGCCCACATGTGCAGTCCTTTAAACGTTTTTATTAAGTTCATATCTCGAATTCGCCCATACGATGGTGCTTGTGTGGGGAATGCCATCTCTTGGGAATCTGCCATAGGAATTTCCACCGCTTGGCTAATTTATTCTTATTCTTTAAGACTTTTATTCTGAATTTATTTGAAAAGCCCGCCTAGGCAGCAAACAGTGTTGGAAAACTGTCAACCTGCGGCATTGATAGTCGTCTTATCGATACCATAATCAACACGTTGAATAATAAAAATATCTTAGCTGAAAAGTTATTAATATTAATGTTTCGTTGATTTGTTGAAAGAAAATAGATATAGTAGTCTTATCCATTTGGAACCAAGCCAAAAGATTTCCAACGGACCGAGTGTGACCAGCCGCGTCAAAAACTTGACTGCGAATCGATATTTCCAACGATGATTCTAAGCTTAGTGGTCGACCAGCACTAAGTAAAATTTCAGCAATAAATATCAACCTCACAAAATCCACCTTGGTTTTGCGAATCAAATACGTTTAACTTAAAAAAAAGAGCTGCATGTGGAATGGAATAGAAATTTGGTGTTTATTGTTGACGTTTGAGCGATATTTTTGCCTGTAGATATTAATTAATAGATTGTTGCATATGCCAAAGTAGACTCTTTGTAAAAATTCCAGTGAATCTTAACCTTCGCCGCTGTTTTCTAAGTAATAACTAATCGTGCGATATCATACGTAGTTTCGGTTCTTAACGTTCGGTATTAGTTGCAGTTGTCCACGAAAACACAGTGGATACGAAAAGTGACAGCCGAAACTGACCCCCGCGCCCCGCCGACCGCTGTCACATTTCATTTTTTTTTTTTGTACGGCGAGGAAAGCGACATTTTCTTCGAAAGGTTGCGCCCAGACTGCAAAAATGATAATAAACCTCAAAGTTAAGACCCTAGATGCGCGCACCCACGAATTCAGCATCGACAATGAGGTAATGCCCAAATCTTTGAGGTTGTGTGGCCCAGCGTCTAGAAGCCTCTATATATGTGTGTGTGTCTTCTTCCAGATCACGATACGTCAGTTCAAGGACCAAATAGCCGAAAAGACCAGCATTGCTGCCGAAAACCAGAGAATCATCTACCAGGGAAGGGTCCTAGCTGACGAGAAGCAAGTGAAGGAATATGGTGAGTCATCCCTGGGAGTAGAGGCGGCCTATCATTCATTCATATATTAATTGCCCCCTTCTTGTAGATGTGGACGGCAAGGTGCTCCATGTGGCCGAGCGCCCACCATTTTCTCAGCGTGGAGCCAACTCCCGGAATAACGATGAGCCCATGCGCACTTTCCGCAACCGGCCGCAGGCTGGAATGCGGACTTCGCCGTACTTCCGGGCTCTGGACGGAATGCTTGTTGGCACAATGGCTATACCCGTGAATAATGGTCCTGTTGCAACAGTAGGTCATATTCCCGACACCCTGTAGAAACTAAAAGTATCTCTATATCCTCAGACACGCAATCCCCCCAATCGCTATCCCAACTCGTCGTCCTTCTGCATCAACCGCATCACCGTGGCCATGCACATGATCGATTGTGCCGCCAACATAGCCGCCTATCTGGAAAACCCCGCCGTGGGCCTGAACAACCAATCTCTGGATATCCTGCAGCGTGGTCGCTGGTCCATGGAATCCACTGTAGTCGAAGTGGGTGTCTCCTCCACGGATCTCCCACGCAACAACAACATTATTGACATGGTCCAGGATGCCGTGACAGCGGCCCTTTCGCGTACTGGAGCTCGAAACTACACCGTGGTTCAATTACCCACAGTTTACACCAACGAGAGCGGTGAAACTACCCAGCAACGTGCCGGCGAAGCGGCCAACGATGCAGCACCTTCCGGATCGGCTAACGAAGCCGGTGGCGAGACTACAGCCGCCACTGTCATCATAGAGGATGTGATTGAAACCGATGACGAGGCTGCCGATGGATCTTCAGACCGTTCGACAACTCCCACAGTAGAGGTGGATGTTGATGTAGCTGTTGGTGGTCAACCTGCTGCTGGTGCTACTGCTGCAACTTTCACCCCTGCTGTTGCTGCTGCCGCCAGCTCAACCACAGGAAACGGCGGGGAGGCTGGAGCCGCTCCAGCTGCCGGAGAAGGCACTGTGAATGCAGGACCCAGGCGTCGCACTCGGCCTCAAGTATTGGCCCAAGTCATTCAGCACTTCCGTAACACCCAGACGCGTCTATCGCCATTTGTGGATCGCTACTATGATATCCTTCAGAATGATCCGACCTTCGAGGAAAGTGTAAGTTGTACTTCATAATCTTGAAAGAGAATTCAAGAAATAATGAATACCTATCATTCGAACAGGACACCACGGGGCGCGAGAATGCCCAGCGCATATTTGACCGGGTCTCAGAGGCCTTCCACTACCTCTCCCATGCCCAGCATGCGATTTCTGACCTGATGCTGGACCTTTCACAGCCAGGACCGCGGGTGCTCACCTGCCGACCGATTCTTGTCGAGCAAAGCGGCTACATACGCTCCAACAACATCTTTGCTCCCAACTTTTTGGCTCCACCACCGGGCCTCCTCAACGAGGTGGCCTTCAGGGCTGGGGCAGCAGCCAATGCTGCTACTACCAACAGAGCAGCCGCCCCGAACGCTGCAGCCACTTCGAATGCAACTACCACGCCGCAGGCCAACAATCTGCAGACTGCCACCGAAGCTAGTCGCAGCGCAGTGGCCATGGCTGAGATTGCCAGTCGGGCTGCTGGAGCCGCTGCTGAAATGGCGGCCGGAGCTGCCAGTGCCGCGGCTGCTGCTGCCGCTGCAGGTCTAGCCGGTATGGCTACCGACCGTGTAGAGGATCCCGTTGATGAGCCCATGGTGGTACCAAATGCAGCTAACCAAGGACAGCAGCCACGACCGAACGAAATGGGTAAGAGAGTATTCTTGCGACAGATATTTAATTCATTTCAGTTCATTCAGGTCATGCATTTATTAAGTTTAAAATGTATTAAAGGATAAGATTTAAATTATAATGATTTTTTAGATCACGATCACGATCAAAGTGCTGATCAGATTCCTGATCAGACCAACGATCAAGAGCCCAGAGCAGCTCCTCCCAGGCTGCGTGTTTATGTGCCAGTGACCCTGCCACCGCCCAGTATGTTTGGTTGTTTGGTTGAATTCCTTCTCGACTCATTCATGAAGCCTAACCCATTCCGATCACTCATTCGTTTGCTACCCCTGTTCGACTATACTCACTCGTTGTTAGTTGGTTTCCAGCGTCTAACCCTCCTAATAGCCGCCTGGTTTTTGTCTTTAAAAGTTTTGCTAACGTATTTCGCCTTGCAGATCCTCAGCTGGAGATGGCGCGACTCATCCAGGCAGTGGTCAACAGGGCCACCAACAACGAGACGAACGACGTGCATGTGGAGTTCAACTCGCCCAACATTATGTCCATTAACTTGCCCGTACACGTGATGACCGCCGCCGTGCGTCCGCCCTCTGCAGCGGCGGCTGCTGCTACTCCCACATCTGCTGCACCGGAAGAGGCCTCTGCAGACAATTCCTCACCAGCTGGGAACGGAGAAGCCGGTGCAGCCTCCACATCAAGCGGCACACGCAGCGGAGAACAGCGCGCCAATACTTTACCGACTACGTCCACCCAAACACGGTCCACTTCGCGGCCCCAGATTCAGATTGGCGGCAACAACAATTGGGGCAGCCGCATCGCACCCACGCACACGGCCTTCGATCGCTTCCTACCCTGCAACAGTCATCATATTCGGGAGCCGGAACCACAGAATAACAACAACGCATCGGGCAGCTCTAACAACAATCGCAGCACCGCCGCCGCCCCCGCTGTGGGAACCGCCGTCGTGCTGCCGACATCCACAGTTGGTGCACGTCCTGGTGAGTTTCGTTTAGAATGTAGCACCAAATCATGTACACTTCCACCGCCACGATCCACTCGCACATCCCTTCATCCGCACCAGCACCCGCACCAAGAACAGAGATGGAAAGTCACAGTCAATCGAATCACAGTCGAATCTTAGAGTCAGTCGGACTTATAACTTGTCCAATAGCATGAAGGATTACAAAGTCTTGCCATAGTATCTTTAAACTATTATTCATATTATTGAAAGTAGGTAAGATATAGTAGTTGCTGATCAAGTTGTTGTTAGGATTAACATTTCTCTGAAGAAAATCACACACAAACCCGTATCGATTCGACTAAAGACTGGCCTCCGTCTCTGACATTAATTTCCATTCTATCCATATCATCATTTAGTCACCTCTGATCGCATCCACCGTGGCGGTGCCAACGTACGTTCGACATGGCCGGCGCGGCGCATGCGACCCTCTAGCGAGCAGCTCCGGCCAGCAGCCTGGGCTCGGGCGTTTTTGCAATCGCAGACGCAGGTCCCGACTTTGATTCACGTTGGTGGTGGCAGCACCAGCGGGGCCTTGTCCGGAGCCGGGAGAGTTCGCCCCTTCGGATTATCGCACAGCCTTCGCGATAGGCAGGCGGCAGCGGCTATTCGAACGGCCCTCGTTGGTGGTGGCAGCACCAGCGTGGGTGGCCTGACGACGATACGGCGGGGCCGCATTAATCCCACCGGCCACCACCGCCAGAACAGACTATTTCCCCTCCTAGCTAATTTAATGATTAATATGAGAAATAATGCGCCAACAGCTCCGGCAGGCAGCGCCCCAGTCGCCCCAGAAGGAGTGACCCCAGCGGCGTCGGCTACGGCCTCGGCCCCAGCCCCAGCTCCAGCCACCATCCCAGCAGCTGCTCCATCCCAGGCGGCTCCTTCAACGCCCATTATCAGTGCGCCCGCTCCCGCCCAACCCGCCGCGGATTCGAGCGACCTGCGCGCCCAGTTGTGCAGCTTCCTCAACGACAGACTGTTCGCCGGGGTGCCCATCAACGAGCAGACCATCCCCGCGGCTCTCGATCGCGCCCTGGAGTGGTTCGGCGACAGCCTAATCTACCTGGCGCAGTACGAGCGGCCAAAATACATCGCTAGGGACTCGGTGTGCAACGTTCTACGGTACAGCTTTCGACGAATTATTGAGCTCTGCAGTGAAGCTCCGGGCACCAGTTCGGACGCACAGTTCAAGGACAGGCTCAAAAATACTCTTCTCACGTTCCGCATGACCCTCTTTAGCGTCCTCATATTTTGCCTGGGCTATGCCAATGCCGAGCTCTACTGGCGCCAGTTGATGCGCCTCCTGTCCACCCCACTGCGGTCCAGTAAGTAATCCTCAAAGTGCCAACATAAAAGTCGGTAAAAATGGGATGGTTTCTTGTTAGATTTCCGCGACGAAGCCCTTCAGTTCTTGTGCATCTACATTGATCCGAGAAATCCAGATGACTTAAATCCTGAGCTGATAAACAGCATGAGTGCAATGCAGTTTCTTGTCCTCCGCACGCCTGAAGGCCCACCAGCTTCGGCAGAGACAGAAGTAAGTGTTTGGGCTCTGATGAAGCTTACACTCAGAAACTTTTTAAATTGAAGCCCTTTGTGGCGCCTCCACCTCTTTTTAATCTCCAGCAGCAACAGCAGCCGCAGCATCAAGCACTGGACACCGACGTGGAAATGACTGAAGTGCCTGCCACCAGTAGCAGTAGCACACCAGGAGTAGCGGCAGACCCCCTGCCCGCCGTGATTGTGGGCTCAGAACCTTGGCACATGAGTTTCCCTAACGAATGGTTGCCTGTGATAACGCGTGACTTGCAGACACAGACTGAGGTACTGACCATTAATTAGTAATTTATTAACTGAAACTATAATTGGCATCCTGTTGCAGAACGATCGCCCCCAGCAGCCTTACTCCGATGCCTATATATCAGGGATGTCGGCCAAGCGCCGCAAGATTATCCAGTCGGATAAGCCGACAGCCACTGTAGAATGTTTGATTGCTAGTGGCGTCCAGCGGGCCATTCAGAGCGCCGGCTTGGGAGCTAATGGAAGCAGCAGTTCCTCTATCAATACAGACTCCGTGATCGGTACCATTGCCCACGATGCCGCCATTCAGGCCTCGTACACGGATGCGGTGCGCAACAGTGTCCGGGAGCGGATCAAGCAGGACGTTGACTACAAGCCCAGCAAGTACCCGCAGATAACCAAGTTCGCCGAGCAGAAGTAGAGGATGGAGAGGAGTAGCGCCCTTGGCCAACTAGTGCTTGTTGTACATTTTACTTTAATGCATTGTATTTAATTTAGTTAATAGCTAAGTTTTGTTTAAATCCAACGAACGACGACCTTGAGGCGACATTGACACATTGAGAGGGTCTTTAGCAAATCCTTCGACCTATATAGAATAATAATATCCAACTGATATGTAATCATGAATACCCACACCTTACATACACACACACCACACACTATGGGACACGAATGGCAGAGCCCAGACGAAAAAGCTTAGGGGCTGCGATAAAGGAGTAAAATAAACACACTTATTAACCTTAAATGGTAATGGCACTAATAATGCTGATGTGGATGTGGATCGGGGACCACACAAAGCGGATTGGCTTTCAATTCTTTCAACATCTAAATGGCCAAATGGCGATGGCGTCCCCGTGTCGCGTGACGTGTTGAACAGATCGGAACAGAATCAGAGCCGTGACGACAGCCGAATTCGAAATTCCAGCCAAATATTTTGGCCAGCGCCTCAATTGACGTCGGCCAATGGCACATGATTGCCCATGACGATGGCTCTGGAATGTGGATCAGCTCAAGTGGATGATCAGATCAGGAGATTACAAGAAAATCGAGCCTATAGCCTATCCAGTCCAGACCAGCCCATCACATCCTATTTCATCGCCACCGATGATGCCTACGCTACTCTTGTTATTGTTGTTGTTCTTGTCACCTGCAATCAAAACACGAAAATGTGTCACACAAAAATGTTGGCAATATTTATGAGGTGGAACGACAAAAAAAAAAAAAAATAAAATACCGAACCGAACCGAACGACAAATATCGAAAACGAGCAAAGAAAAGGAAAACATATAAAATATATGAATAAATAATAATTATTAATATTTGCCGCTTTTCTTTAAATATTTTTACTCGAAATGATTGGACTCTATAAATAGACTAGCTACGTAATCGAAGTATATTTTTAATAGCTACAGTTATGCGAAAAGGTGCGTGTCAAGATTGTAAATCTGTCAGTCAGTACACCAGCATAGACAGTCTTATATTAATTGTGTTATTTCAAGAAATGAAGTACTTTGTTAGTTCAAACATAAGCTGTAACCTCAAGAGTGAAAGTAAAAGATTTGAAATTTTATAACCCCGCATACGGTTATGATCCTTACAGTTTTGTAATTTCTTTAATCTTTAATCAGACGACCCTAAAGCCCAACCGTGCCAAGGTTCCATGGTAGCCGGCCAGTTAGCATAGAGATTGGACAGAGCCGGATAATTAATTGCAGCCACATCGACCAGATCGAGGTGGCGACGGAGATGGTGGAGACATCGTTGGCACGCGCATGCAGTCGCCCGGGGAATGGATGGGTATGGGTATTGGGATCGGGATCGGGAATGCGCGGAATTTGCGGGAAGCGCATTTAAGGCGCCCCCTGGTTCATTATGCATGCCCAGGCATGGGTAAGAGGGCCAGAACTTTGAAATAAATTAAGGCATCGGACTTTGATGCATGGCTCCACGGTGCTCCCTCCATCTACCAGTTGAATTTTTCTGGCGCCAATGGAAAATTTTCATCTGCAGTACTGAAATGTTTGGCCCAATCTCAATTGGGCTGTCGCTGATCCTTCAACAAGCCGGTTTCATTCAATCACTGCTAACCAGGCATTCCGAGATCCCAACCGATCCAGAACGTCATAATTAAAAACATTTCTCAGTGGTCCTAAACGGCAAAAAAAAATTATAAACTTTAAATGAATTTATATTTCTTAAATTCAAAAATTGTAGATCTATCTTTGGGTCTAATCCTATATCCTATCTAAGATATAGACCTATTAGTTTACCTATTTCTTATATATTTTTTTTATTGTGTACCAGATGTGTGTGTTTATGTAAAGGACAATTTATTAAGAGTGCGTAAAAGTGGCTGACTGACTGGCAGACACAACGACCATACCAGAACATACAAAGATGTACACACAAACATGTGTCCATATGCATTTACATCGATGATAATGATGCCCCATACATAGATCTAGGTTCCCAAGAACCAACTACACCATCAGCCATCAGCAGCAACATTGACTGAAGTAGCAACATCAACAGCAGCAGCACAAGTAGCAACAGCAGCAACTCAAAGGGGGCACAAACACGCAACCAGCAGCATCAGTTCAAGATCGAGATTGAGTTGCAGATGGAGATGGAGATGGAGATTGATGCCTGGCGCCGAAAGAACAGGAACACATGTAATTGAGTGTTGTGGACAATTACACAAGTCCCAGCTCCCGGATTTAAAGCCCCAATTGGCCAAAATGATCCTCCACAACCTCTCACAGAGAACCTATCTTTTAGGTTCCTATACTTTTTAAGAATTGAGTTCTAACCCTAATACTTTTAGTTCTAATCTTTAAAATCGTGTAATTTTTAAAACCTTTTTTTAATAATAATGAGTATAAATGACAATCTTTGAGATCTTACCCTTTTCTGTTAATGAATAAATCAATATACAGACAAGAATTTATATCAACAATCTTCTACATCATCTTCAGTTTTAGATGAGATACATTTCCATTGATCCCACTGTGCGGAGCAGCAGCAGCAGCCGCAGTAGCAACAGAAACAGCAGCCGCAGCATACGGATCTTCATCGATTTATTCCCACTCCCAGTAGCAAACGGACCGTACTCGAATCAAGACGTGCTCATCGGGCTAGAAAAGACGTATCCTACATCGTACGCTCCATAAACCGAATCGAATCGAATACGATCGGAACCGAGACTTTGACTCACCCATACACTCACTCGCGGTGTTCGAAAACAAATAACACATCTAAGATTGTCGTGTCAGAGGTCTGAAGAGAGTGAACGGGAACGGGAATCGGCAAGATATATATACATATATAGAAGAGGAGGGAGTGCACCAGGCGGAGTGCAGGAGGAGGAGGAGGAGCAGCTCCAGCTCCAATCTCCAAATTTCAATCCCACCCCCCCTTAACCGATTCGAATCGGACCGGAATTTCAATTCCGATACCGAGATCCGGAGATCGGGAGTGTTTTAAACGAGAGTCCCGAGTGCGTGCAAAATAAATCTACTCCTAGTGCCAGTTGATAGTGCCGCATTGAAATCTGATGCCATCGAGAGTTCAGAGAATCCAAAAAACCGAAAACCAAATCCCGCCTTTGGAAAACCGATCTGCGATCTGGAAACCCCCGGCCCGCATACATATGTGAGCCAGTGGGTATTTTCCCGATCGTTTTCCGATTGTTTTTCCGAGCTGCCTGCTCGCCACCTCGCAGTTGAAAATCCACCGCCTCAGCGCATGCAACGCGTCCTTTTGAATCGTGAATTGTGAACAGATCCAACTATATAGAGACTATTCTCGAAAACTGAACCAAAACCAAAGAATTGTGAACTAGATAAGTGATCTTGAGTGATCGGCTAGTGATCGGCCGCCAAAATGACTTCCATAATGTACACCGTTTTCCACCTGGCATCGCTCCAGTGCTCGGTGCGACCAGAGATCTCGCCCTGCACCTGCGAAACGGGCAAGGCCTGGAACCACGTGGAGCTCTCCTGCGAGAAGCTCGAATCCTTCAATGCCGTTGTCGACACCCTGGCCAATAAGTTTAATCCCGACACCAAGATCGATCTGAAAATCACGCACTCGCAACTGGACGACCTGGAAATGAGATCGTTTACGGATATGAACTTCAATCTGTACAAGCTGCGGATGAAATGGAACGGACTAAGGTGAGCTAAATGAATCACTGTTTGAGTCATTCGTTGGCCAAAGAAGGATATGTTGTTCTCCGATGATTTGGTTTTCAGTTTTCGGAGAATTTTCCAACCAAAATCATGGTTGTTGTGGGAGGTTCAAGGCCAATAGCTTTGTTCCATAGAACAGGCAGAAATTTCCGCTCATCCGGCTATCAATTTAGGTTCCTTAAACCCAATAAAAAGCCGAGCGAAAAATAATAATAATGCAAAATGTACACAATTTTCAATACGCTTATGTAAATGCTCGAAAAATGTGCTCCCCGGATCGCAGGGCTTGTTTACAGCCAAGTAGATACTAAAACAATAACAATGTCATTTGTTTACGTCAAAGAAACCCGGTACCGTCTCATTATCTATGGCTATATCTCTAAATTGGGGAAAATTGAGTGGGAGATGGAGGTGGACCTGGACCTGGAGGTGGAGGTGTAGGTGTAGATAGGGCAACTACAACATCAGATCTTACGAATCTTAATTGCCATTCAGATGATTTAATTTTTCAATTAGGAAGTAGCATTGAATTGCTGCAAATTGGCCAACGGGCTACCCCAGATCGGATCCTATTTCCCGTACTACCCAGATCCCCCCACTAACAACTAGGCATCTATGGAGAGTGCGAGCTATGGGAGCAATGGGAATCGAAATGGAATTCGTATTGATAATTGAATACCTTATCAATACGCTCATTATACACGGCTTACATAGGAGGATCATATGAGCTCCGATCGGGGCTTTGAAAGAGTGTGCGTGCCGCGAGATGTTCCGCCGAGATCGACGTATACTTAATGCGTACAAAAAATTGATAATTGCAGTTTATTGCTTTTCAGAGCGCTCTTTCAGAGACGCCTGCACGTTTTTGTTCTGCCTTCTGACTCTGACTCTGAATGAATTTTAATTCACCATCCCATCGATGTATATAAATAACAAATAATATGCCATTCTGTCAATCGGCCGATCTTCCCTTGCGAATCTAGAAATAACATTCGAGCCTATTTCATAAGCGCCTGTGCGCGGGTTCATTGATATTTGACTTCGATGCCTTAAGGCGGCTTTCTTGATTCAAAACAAAGTATGACTCAGGATTCGTTCGATTCACCCAAAAAAGTAGGAGCTTCCAAAAATGGTTTCATTATTTCTTCATACTCAGACTGATGGGGGGGCTCTACAGTTGTTACCTTTTACCAATTTATATTTTATTCCTATTTAGTCCCATTTTAAAACAGAATGTCTATGTTGGAATGAAATGAAAAATGTTATTTATATTTATGAAATTATTCCACATCATCGCTCGGGAAATAGTTCCTAGAAAAGTAATTATTTTAAAGAATTTATGGCAATATATTTTTAAAAAGAATTTCGGGAAAACACTAAGTATATATTAAAGACAATTCAAGCCATCTTAAAGTCATTTCAATGAAAAATAGATGATTAAAAAATAGAAATGGCCGTTTACGTGGAATATGATTATTAGTTCTTGAGAATTTATGCAAATGATAATCTCATCAGATTATAACAACCCTTTCCTCGCACTCCCTGATTATAGATTTCGATTTAGCATTTAAACGTATATGTATTCGTTGGCCGCTAATATAATTTAATTACCCGACTTGATCGAATCAGTGAATCAGTGAACACCAGCTCCTCCTCCCCCATCCAAGTTTCAATAACCCAGGTCCGAATAGCCTCCCATTCCCGATTCCCGATCGGCTATCGACGATCTTTGCATCCAGAAATGCTAAGAGCGCGTGCCTCTGATGGGGGGTTCGGCGGGGATCGGTTTTTACATTGATGTCAATTTAATATAATTGACCTATTGGCTTAATATCGCGCTCTAACCAAATCATGCCAACCCAGCAAGGAAAAGTACCACACTTGCGTACTTGTATCTGTATCTGAATCAGAAATCTGTATCTGTATCTGTGAGTGAGGCATGACGAGTACATGATCATGACTTTTCTATATAGCTCTATCAGCACGTGGATTTTTCTAATGTGTCTCATTACTGAAATACTGAATGAATAAAATATTTTAAAGATTTTTTTAAATATAAGTTTTTGTTTTCTTACTCTTTTTGAAAATTTTAAATATAATGGATTAATCACTGAGCTGATCTTGTTAATATTTAGTCCAAGTGCATTCCTCTGCTCCATCCTAGCCCAAATATAGATCACATCTGGGGGCAGTCCATTGATAAGAGCTCCTGTCTCTTTGGGTTCTTTTGTTAAATCTGTTTTATGACTGGCGCCAAATACAATCAACTCGGTTTTATGACCGCTTTTTACGATCGACATTATTCAGAGCCCACTCGTGTGGAGTGTGAGCAACTATTGAATGGGCCACATCATACATACTTATATATTTATATGAACTTGCAGGACTTTCGATGGGGTGCCATTTTTAAGGGTTAGTACACAATCTATATGGCCTTTTCGATGGTACGATGGCTTGGGTCTTGGTCTTGCTCTTGGTCTTGGGCTTTCTCAGGCGATAAGGTTAAGTGATCAGTGAGTTATATGTTCAATCACTTGCAGATTTGTTTGAGGCTATTAATATTGTTGTTATTATTATCATCGAAGTGCAGTCCCAGTCACAGTCACAGCCCTGAGAAAGTGCGAAAAGTGTTGACGGCTACTGTCTGACAATTAATTATGATAACTACTCCGCATAATTTATTATGCTATGGAATATTCCGAACCGATCAGCATCTGTCTGGTGATAATGTTCTCTAGAGAAGACAGATTCAAACTTTTTACTATGGAATGCCGCCGATTCAGGAAACAAAGTAAACAATAACAAAACAAAAAAATGTTCCAAATAAAATGTGTGAACTTAAGTATATAACATTTACGTGGAATGTTTTTTGAACTTGTTTTTGTTTTCGACGATGGTCTCTCTGGTGGGCTCTGTTTTTTAACTCTCTGTGGTCTTTGGTCCGGGGTCAGCCCAGAGACGAGCAGGCAGTCCAATTGAATTTTATTATTACGCTCAATCAATGATCAAGGGGCCAGTTTGGGTCGTGTGACAATTATACCGCTGACGTTAAGGAATTGTGGATACATCCCCTACCATCCAGTACCCACTACCCAATGGCCACAGGCCAGTACAAGTATCTACAAGTTCAACGGGTTCATTATGGATGCAGTATCTCTGCCCCTGGCCAGCCTTTCTCATTACATAATCAACTCTGGATAGGCTCTGGTCGCTCCAGGCAACTCCAGCCGGCAAACAATCAAGTCGGCAGGCGTCTGGACTCTAAAAATAGCTCCTGCCAATCAATCTACTGCCTCTACTCCTCCTCTACATACCAATAACGGGCGCCAAGGATGTCCATACCACCCTCCACGCCCCCAGGCACTTGGCACTCCATCCCAGTCTCCAGTTCCCATCATGAATCTGAATCGGCTGTTTGGCGCCTCGACGGCGACAACTTAATAGCCACCTGCAGACGTCGATAAAGATACAGATCAGATCAGGTGTATTGGTGGGCCGGAGCAGCAGCTCTTGGCTGATAAGGCTGCGTCATCGGGTCCAGGGATGGGTAATGCGATATGCCTCCATTCAGTAGTAATTAGGCTTTTTGCCGAATCACCGTCAATAACGTGATTCACATTTGCCCGGCACTTCCATAACTTTTCTTGTTTGAAATACCTTCATTTTAATGTTTAATTATGCAATAGTTATCAATTATGTCGTCAGTAATGGCTAGCTACAGATAGCACCAAGTTATCAATCAAATCAAGCGATTCTTCAGAGCTGTATTTATACTATAGAGGAAATAATTCTCTAATCTCAAAAAACTCATACTACCACCAAGAATTCTTATCATATTTCATTCTATTGAACAAAATTTCAATTCATTCAACAAGAAGTTGAGCTTACAAATTCTGCTAAAATATTTTATATTTTCTAGCCCATGTTTTCTTGATAGATTTGTTTAACTAAAGACCATTTAGGCCTCCTTAAATATTAGCACTTATTCTATTTGTTTCACTTTCTATTTATACGAAATTGTAATGGATTTGTTTTCGCTATTTTTAGATCGCTGCCCGAAGTACCATTTCGCGGGTTATCGAATGTCACCTACCTAGGCATCGGCGACAACGAACTCGAAGAGATCCCAAAGCACGTCTTGAGCCACATGCCCAGCCTGCGAACACTGGACATAGGACGCGGCAATGTACGGGCGGTGCAACAGGACGACTTTAAGGGCATCCAGGAGGTGACGAACCTAATTCTACCGAGTAACAACATAACTCGCCTGGACAAAGGATCTTTTCCGCGGAGCCTTCTGATATTGCATTTGGGACGAAATCGTTTAGAGACGCTGAATGGAACTCTGCTGGATCTGGACAAGCTTCAGTCGCTTTTCATCAATGCCAACAATATCAGCACCCTGGATAATGAGCTGCCGGATGGGAGCAAGCTGCGCCTGCTCATGGCCCACAATAATCGGCTAGAGAGATTGCCGGCCAACATGGCGGAAATGGACCAATTGGAGACGGTGCACATCCAATCCAACCGACTGCGCTCTTTGGATCGTGTCTTCCGGAATGCTGTTAATCTGTCGGAGTTCCTGGCCGAAAACAACGAGCTAGAATACTTGGCCCAGGATGAGTTTTCCTCCTGCTACCAAATCGACAACCTCCTAATGGGCTGCAACCACATCCGATCCCTGAACTACTCGCTTCTACCCATTCTCAAGCTGAAGAATGCCAACTTCTCGTTTAACGACATGGAGGAGTTCTCCATGGCCGAGATACACGGTCTGCGATCCCTCAAGTTCCTGGTTCTGTCCAACAACCGTATCCAACGCCTTCTGCCCGATCCGCGGGGTATACAGAAGATGTTGCTCGTGGAATTTCATCTCGACCAGAACAGGATAGAGGCTCTAAACGGCGCCTTGGCAGGATTAGGGAATCTAAGGATTCTAAACCTAGCCAGAAATCGATTGGAACACCTTCAGGAGGGCGACTTTGATGGTCTTCAACGTCTGGAGATCCTTGACCTCACAGGAAATCAGTTGGTAGATCTGAAACCTATGGAAACGGTGAGTGGGTACCCAAAAGCGGTTTATAGAATATATTTCATGAATATATACCTTGTTCTTCCAGACAATTTTGCCCAATCTAAAGATCCTTAATGTGGCATTCAACAACATTACCAAGCTGGAGCAGGACTTCAAGGGTCTACCCGTACTGTGCCAGGCCAACTTGACCAACAACCAGATATCCTCCATCTCGAGCGATCTCGTCACAAATACACGCTGCAGGAACCACAATGTGCCCGGAAAACTGGAAATAAATCTAGATGGTAAGTTAGTTTTAATAATTAGTTAATCTTTTTAATAAAATCTTTCTAACCCCCATAGATAATCCCATTATGTGCGACGTGAGATTGAACGAACTGTGCCGACTAATGACCGTCCAGGAGGCTCGCATCCGAGGACGATCCCAGTGCTTCGAAAACGACCAGGAAGTTTGCACTGTACTCCCAATGCTCTACAAGGTAGACCTGCCGATTGTGGTTGCCAATCTGAAGATAGGCGGCAGGGAGGACGCCAAGCCGGTGGTGCAGATGCTGGTGCCATCGTTGATGAAGGGCAACGAGGAACTATTTCCTCCGATCATCGCCACTCTGGGTCAGCCGCTCATTAATCCTGTTATCATTGGATCCGCAATAGTGCCGTCTTTGACGCCCCCAATACCTCTGCTCACCACCACTCCGCCAGCTCCTGTTGTAACCACCACCGAGAAGGAAGTCAGGGTAGAAGAATCCCCGACCGTAAGTCCTGTTGCGAGCAACACCACCACGACGACGACAACGACAACTACACCCAGTGCTCAAGTGGCGCCCACCGAGATCATAACCACCACTGCGCCCACTACAACAACCACCACTACGACAACACCCAACCCGAATGAAACGTTGCCCGTGATTGTGGAGATTCAGGAGTCCGAGGCCCACAATGCCAACCCAATAAATAACACAGAAAATGTCGAAGCTGGTCCTGATGCTAAAGCAGAGGAGGATCTAGCAGTAGTGGTGCCTCCTCTGACAGTTGGAGATCCAATCCAGGACGACAGGGAGAAGGAGCGGCAGCGGGAAAATGAAAGTGAGGACCAGCTGAAGCACGATCTCGACCAGGAGTCGGTGGCCAAAACCGAGTACGAGACGGTCGAGTTTATACCCAATCTGGTGCAGCCGCCGGGCAAGGCGAATGCCCTCGAGGAGGACTCCGATGCGCAGTCCAACTCCGTGCACGCGGAATATCCGCATGCGGCGCAGAGCCTCCAGATCCCCGAGGAGCCGCCGGAGGAGTGAGCTTCCGGTTCCGCCGGGGAGTCCGCCCTCCCCAGAAAATATTATTTTACTGTAAATCGCAGAGATGGAGTCGAAGGAATCGAAAAGGAAGCAGCATGCAGAACGAGATTCGGATTTTTACACGGAAAAGAAATCAATAACATTCGGATTAAAAGCAGGATAACAAGGGACATTTTTATTTTATGTGATTTAGGAAAGCTTTACGAGATTGTATAAAGCCTTCGTTAAATTCTTTAAAAGGTATTTTATCCAAGTATATAGCGGCGATGTCAAATCGACACAAACATTACCTTAACTGTCCTGTTTTTAATCCAAATGCGTTTAATTTTTATTCAGTGTAAGCCTTAAGTTAACTTAGTTTTTATGTTTTATTTAAGCCAATTGCTAAATCAAACAGTTTGTCGGACGGTTTTTGTTGAGTTTTTTTTCTGCGAAACAGGGACGACGAGGAAGGATCGAGGAGGAGGATGACCCAGGTCCAGGTCCAAAGGGAACCGACCGTCTTATGATTTAAGTTTATTTGTTGGGGGCTCAATTACGTGAATGTGTTGGCATAAAAATGTGTGTTTCGGATTTCACTTTACCTTCTCTAAAATAAACTAAAGTTCTTATGGAACGATAAATTAAATTTATTCATTTTTTTTATTCTACTTCTATTCAAAATCCAGTGAAGTGAAATCCGGAACTAGAGTGATGACATTAGATGGAAAGCAGCGCCGGTGGCGATATCAGATATGCAAAGTGCAACTGCATATATACTATATATCTATATTTAATAACTGTATACACGTTTGTACGTTGAATATCTAAAAGTAGGTACTTAGAGTTTAACGACAAAACAATAAATCGCATCGAGCAAATGTTAATGACGAAATGCAAAATAACACTCGCACTGACATAAAAACACACATCCACAAACTAAATAAACGAGAAAATTCGAAAAAAATATTAAGATTGTTATCGTTGGTTAACAAATGAGAAAATAGATATTAGCTTGTAATTATGTGCAAATGCAAATGGTATTCTAAATAAAAACGTAAATAAAAATGGAATCTAAGGTTTCATTTATTTTAGCCATCACTGTGGACCCTATAGGGGAAAACCCCATTTTCAAGGGGTCCCATCACGAAAAATGGACAAAAAATCTAAAAAATATTTTGTCTCGAATTTTGATGCAGAATGGTGGAGAATCGATCTAGAAATCGTTTAAGGTACTCCGTTTGAGAATCGGATGAGAATTGCGAAAGATACAGCCATCCCTGTGGACCCTATAGGGAAAAACCCCATTTTCACAAATCACAAAAATGGACAAAAAATCTAAAAAATATTTTGTCTCAGGATTTTGATGCAGAATGGTGGAGAATCGATCTAGAAATCGTTTAAGGTACTCCGCTTGAGAATCGGATGAGAATTGGGAAAAATATAGCCATCACTGTGGACCCTATAGGGAAAAACCCCATTTTCAAGGGATCCCATCACAAAAATGGACAAAAAATCTAAAAAATATTTTGTCTCAGGATTTTGATGCAGAATGGTGGAGAATCGATCTAGAAATCGTTTAAGGTACTCCGCTTGAGAATCGGATGAGAATTGGGAAAAATATAGCCATCACTGTGGACCCTATAGGGGAAAACCCCATTTTCAAGGGGTCCCATCACGAAAAATGGACAAAAAATCTAAAAAATATTTTGTCTCGAATTTTGATGCAGAATGGTGGAGAATCGATCTAGAAATCGTTTAAGGTACTCCGTTTGAGAATCGGATGAGAATTGCGAAAGATACAGCCATCCCTGTGGACCCTATAGGGAAAAACCCCATTTTCACAAATCACAAAAATGGACAAAAAATCTAAAAAATATTTTGTCTCAGGATTTTGATGCAGAATGGTGGAGAATCGATCTAGAAATCGTTTAAGGTACTCCGCTTGAGAATCGGATGAGAATTGGGAAAAATATAGCCATCACTGTGGACCTATAGGGGAAAACCCCATTTTCAAGGGATCCCATCACAAAAATGGACAAAAAATCTAAAAATATTTTGTCTCAGGATTTTGATGCAGAATGGTGGAGAATCGATCTAGAAATCGTTTAAGGTACTCCGCTTGAGAATCGGATGAGAATTGGGAAAGATACAGCCATCCCTGTGGACCTTTAGGGGAAAACCCCATTTTCAAGGGATCCCATCACAAAAATGGACAAAAAATCTAAAAAATATTTTGTCTCAGGATTTTGATGCAGAATGGTGGAGAATCGATCTAGAAATCGTTTAAGGTACTCCGCTTGAGAATCGGATGAGAATTGGGAAAAATATAGCCATCACTGTGGACCCTATAGGGAAAAACCCCATTTTCAAGGGATCCCATCACAAAAATGGACAAAAAATCTAAAAAATATTTTGTCTCAGGATTTTGATGCAGAATGGTGGAGAATCGATCTAGATATCGTTTAAGGTACTCCGTTTGAGAATCGGATGAGAATTGCGAAAGATACAGCCATCCCTGTGGACCCTATAGGGAAAAACCCCATTTTCAAGGGATCCCATCACAAAAATGGACAAAAAATCTAAAAAATATTTTGTCTCAGGATTTTGATGCAGAATGGTGGAGAATCGATCTAGAAATCGTTTAAGGTACTCCGTTTGAGAATCGGATGAAAATTGCGAAAGATACAGCCATCCCTGTGGACCCTATAGGGAAAAACCCCATTTTCACAAATCACAAAAATGGACAAAAAATCTAAAAAATATTTTGTCTCAGGATTTTGATGCAGAATGATGGAGAATCGATCCAGAAATCGTTTAATGTTAAATTTGTTCAGTAAACTTTTTTTTCAACATTCAGATTTTAAATTTTCTTTTAAAGCTTTGATCTCTCAATCTTTTAATTTTAAATTAAGTCGGGTAAATTGTTTTAAGTTGGCAGAGCCTTTAAACAGTGGCAGTTTCAAGTTATCGGCCAACGTGGCACTATCGATTAGTCTCTTATGTGGCAGCTCCAGAGTGGCAGCTCTGTTTAAATTGAAACCATTTGGCTCTCTAAGTTTGAATAGCTATAGGTTTTGAAAACACGCATTTAATATTTAAGGCCACTTTTGTTGTAATTCTTATGTAGTAATTTATAGAATTTTAAAATTTCCTGTAAATATGGATTTTTTAGTATTTTTTTGGGGATAAATTAAACCCGCCATCTGGCAACACTGGCGATGTTTTTTACAAATACAAATACAAAAGAAAATAAGCCATCACCGAGCGAAATTGTGTTTTGTGCAGAGTGCAAAGGGTAAATATCGCCCACTCATTTGAAAAAAGCAACCACAAGTGCAAGGATACGGATTTGTGCGAAAAGAAAAAAATTTCTCCGTTGTTGACGTCGCCGTGTCATCGTCTTGTGATCCCCCAAAAAGAAAGTCGTAAAACATAGAAAACTAGCTGGGGAGAGGAGTCTCACACACACACACACACACTCGCCACACACATACACACATAGCGAATACAACCCACAAACACACAAAGGCGAACTGCAGTGAAGCAACAAAAGAACAACAACAACAACAAACACCTCAGGAGAGAGTCATTGCAGTGGAGCAGGTGAGCAGGAGGGGGCAACGGAGCCAGTGAGTGGGTGGATGAAATGGGGGCTGCCACAAATCGGGAGTTCCCCATAGTGGGTCTATTTTCGATATATTAGATATAGCAACCCATTAAATGTGATTCCATGCTAACAAACTGTTTTATTGATAACGCTTCTATTTGTTTCGTTAATTTTCTTGGATTTCTGATAAGTTTTTTTTTATGCCGGTCCGCGAGTGATTAGTCATGGGCCCAGGGCCATACAGTTGTGGTCAGAAAAGTAGCGCTGCCTTTCATGTATAACTACTACCATTTGACCAAGATTATGGTTAAAAAATAGCCCAGGTATTTCGGTTGAATTCCTACAATTTTGACGTCAGCTGTGTATGTGCCAGTGGCGTAGCGGGGGGGCGGGGCGTTGGCCGAGCCAAAGGTGGAACAGGTTTATGCTGCAAGGGGTCAGTGAGAGCGGGGGGAGGCGCGGTTTGGCGGTGGCGTATGAGTAATGAATGAAGTTTCGCACATTTCGGGCCTCCATCGGATGTATGTATGTCGCTATTTGTGCGAGTCACATAGCTAGAGTGCCACAAATGAAATCTAATCACATTTCTGACTCGTTATCACAGGCACACACAGAGCCAGAGGCACTTACACACACACCAGACTAACCAGCACCCAGTACCCAGTAGTAGAAGCAACCATAACGCACACCCATTCAGATACAGATACATCTACGACTATGTAATAAACGCCCGCATGCACCCAGATGCAGATGCAGCAGCAAGTTTGACTGGAAAGGGGCCTGGAGGGGGAGGTTAAGCGATCAAGTTGCACAGTGGGCTTAGCCCAGTGACCTTCGCTTAACCCTCTGCACCTGAAAGGAGAAAAACATCTCACCGAGATAACTGTAAACGAAAAGTAAACAAGTTATCTGACTACAGATGGTACTCCCTATAATGGTTCTTAAAAGAATTTCAGAAGTGATAAGCTATGTAGAGAGCTCTATGCTTCCTCCACTTCCATGTATTGTTGTGACGAAACTAAAGTACTTTACTATCAAGTCATGACGATTTGTTGTTCATTTTTTTGCAAAACAAACAGAGTTTAATGATAGAGGAAGTCCAACAACACTGACGCACTTTCATCGATCGAAGCTCAAGTATTGCTTAGCAGAGACATGCTAAGTGATCGGCCATATAATGCATGCCAAACAGCCTCGTGGATATGGAATATTTTATCCGGTTCTAATGCCAGTTGGACTTGGTTAGCCGATCAGTTCCAGTGTGCATATCAATCGGGCAGCTTCACCGTCCAGTGTCCGGACTTTGTTTAGTTTCGAGCACTTTTTCTGGCCGCCACGGTTATTGAACCGCTCCGGGTTCGTCAAGGCTCTCTGCCTTGAAACAAAGTGAATCGCAACTCGTTAAGCATACTGTTTGTTTTGATACACACACCAGTATATGTTTATACTTTTATTTTTGATTCGTTTTTTTTTGGCAATAAAGCGGCGACGTTTTGCCGAAAGTCAAGTGCAAAAAACACAAAGAAAGCTCTTTCCCCCAGCAGAAGCGTTTTTTTTTTTTAGCTGTTCTGTCTGGCATTCAATTGGCTCAAGTTCAGAGGCAACCACCAAGACAGACATGGGGGATACCACCACCCCCTCGGTATCGTGACTCTTGCACTTCATTTGCGTAGTTTTCTTGCTGCTGGCCGTATTGCGCGACATTTAATTGAATTATTTCGCCTTCTTATCCGCCACTGGCCAGACGACAGCTAAATGAAAACAAACAAATAAGCAAAACAATTCCAGTTCGTCGCTCTAGCCCTTCCTCCCAGATCTTGAATACTGGTTTTGAAGAGTTACAGCTCCCAGGCGGGTTCTCCACCAAAATATGTGTCAAGTGCGAATCCGCTATAATGATTCTCCAGATATTAACCGGTTGTTTTGGCTCTTGAAATTCTTGGCATTATCTATGGTACAGTGTGTCTTCGATATTGATAATATTTATGGCTTTATTGGCAATATTATTATATTACATGACGGCTGCTAGAAGAAGGCCCTACGTCATTAGAATATCTTTATTGCACTGGGCTATGCTATCTTCTTGGTTAATCAGTTATGGCCACAGCTTGAGGCACTTTCTCTACAGGCTATTCTTTTGTTCTGGCAATCGATAACAATTTGATTATCATTGTGTGCATTTTATGCTTTTATAAATAGATCTCTACCTCGACCAGGCGTATTGCTATATTTGTTCACGTTGTTTAATGCATAATAGAGCTTTGGCTGAAAAATTTGCATATCCAGACACGGACATGGGCCGCTGTCGCTGTCTGTCCAGTGCCCTCTGCCGTGTCCAATGCCACGTCTGCCTCTTGGGTTATTTTGCATTTTTGCGGCTTCCTTGGGCGTCGGTCACGGGTTGAGTTCAAGCCGACTATATACTCTATAATCCTTTTAATAAGAGTTCCTAAGCACCTTTTCTGAAACATATTTTATGCAAATTTTAGCTTCTAAATGTTTATATTCTAGTTTTAATTTAATTTCTTTAGTTTGTTAGTCTGCCAGCACTGCCTTAAAGTCAATACTCTTTGCTTTTTGTTTTATTTTTGCCCGCAAATTGAATTAAATCCTAAGTCTTTGGCTTGGGACCGGGCTTAAGTTCTATTTTAAAGTATGCTTTCACTCTTCGTTCAAGGCACTTGAGTTCGGCAAAAACTATTATTCAAATAATAATATCTAACTCTATATGTATATCTGTATATGTAATACTATGTATTTTGATTGTATTTATCTTGTATCTCATACTTAGCTTGCTTTGGAGCACTTAAACAGCAATAAACATAAACAAAAAACGATATAAATACAAAAATCTTTAGCTTTCTCGACCGAAACTTCGAGTTCCAAAAGTTTCTGAATAGAAAAATAAAAAGCAAAAGTCAAACGCAAAAAAACAAACCAAAAGTAAGTCTCAATGTTAACTCATTTAACTTTAAATTCAGTTTATTTTCCAAAAAAAAAAAAAAACACTATAAAGACAACTCGGGATATCATATTTGATATTAAATCGAACTCTGACACAACTCCCAGCACATCAAGCAACAGCAGCAGCACCGAGCAGCGAAATCACCTTTCAAAACACGGAATTCCATTTGTTTTCCACACAATTGTGTTTGTTTTTGTTTCGATTTCCAGACCCCTCCAGACATATGACAGAACACACAGTAGACTCGGAATTAACTTCAAAAAATTTCAAAAATTTTCTTTAAAAATTCCAAAATTTGTATAAACTCAGCGGACTCTTTCGAAAGCAGAAGTTAACCCCAAAAAAAAAACAAAAACAAAAAATCCTTCCCACAATCCTACCCAAAATACGTTCCCGCTTCCAAGGCGCCGGAGCAAGAAGATACAGTCATGTTAAGAATTCTTTCTATTTTTTCTGTCACGCAGTGAGAAAGCAAAAGGACGATATGCAGGTCAATGTCGCGGGTCTACGTAGAAACATCAAAAACCTAGCGCACAACTACTCCGATGCCCAGGTGAGTCCATCGAGGTCGATATCAATAAACTCATTCCCTAATCATAACTTCAACCCAAAGGTCAAAGTGCGCGAGGCCACCTCCAACGACCCATGGGGTCCATCGGCTGCCATCATGGGTGAGATAGCCGATCTCACCTACAATGTGGTCGCCTTCTCGGAGATCATGCAGATGATCTGGAAGCGACTGAACGATCACGGCAAGAACTGGCGCCACGTCTACAAGGCACTCATACTACTGGAGTACCTGATCAAGATCGGAACGGAGAAGGTGGCCCAGCAGTGCAAGGAGAACATCTTCGCCATCCAGACTTTGAGAGACTTTGTCTACTTCGAGGAGGGCAAGGACCAGGGCACCCATGTCCGGGAGAAGGCCAAGCAGCTGGTTAACCTGCTGAATGACGACGAGCGACTGAAGAACGAACGGGTGAAGGCCTTGAAGGCCAAGGAGAGATTCGCCCAGCATCCGAGTGGCTTCGGCAGCGATGGCTACATAGACGGGCCGTCGCAAAGGGACTTGCCGCCAGGCTGGCAGGAAGAGCCGCCCAAATCCGTCTCTGAGCTGGAAATGGTGCGACCCCAGACCGCTGGCGAGGAGGAGCTGCAGCTCCAGCTGGCCATGGCCATGTCGCGCGAGGAGGCCGAGCAGGAGGAGGCCAAGCGGCGCAGCGACGATGTGCGCTTGCAGCTGGCCCTCAGCCAGAGCGAGCAGGATTTCAAGTAAGGTGTACCAGAAGCTTTTGTAATATTTGTAACAAAATCACTATTTAGGGATTCTAGTGGACGACCGATACCTGCGCCCAAGAGGGAGGAGAGAGAGCCACAGAGTCATCTAATGGACTTGCTGGACATTTCGCTGGGCGCCACGAGCATCTCGAGTCCACCGCTGGGCGCTGCAGGCGGCGCACCGGCGGGCGTGATCGATCCTTGGGCTACGTCCGCTCCTAGGGCTCCTAGCCAGCTGTCGGATCCTTGGTCGGGCACCTCCTCGCCTCAGGTTGATCCCTGGCATCCGTCTGCCGCCCCACGCACCATAATGAGCGCCGGAGTACCGATGAACGCTGCTCCCACTCCCAACGATGCCTGGGGAGTGCGAACTCAGTCGCCGTCTGTGGCCTCGGGCTCCTCCACCGAGGGATGGCTGCAGACCAACGGCAACGCCAACCAGAACGGACGTGGACCGACTCCGGCCGGTGCCCCTGGTGAAGGCATTGGTTGGTTAACCAAAACAAATGCTGCTGGAGCTCTGGGCGCTGCGCCTGTCAACAATGGGACAAACAATGGCAGTGCGTCTGGCGATCCTTGGCTAGCAGAGCCAGCGACTGGAGGAGCGGCTGCCATTGCTCCGGCGGATCCCTGGGTGGCCGGAGGTGGTCCGCAGGTGGGTGCCGGGGCGTTGGATGATCCTTGGAAGGCCCTGGGCACAGGCGCCGTTAAGGTGGGCAGGAAAACTGAGTTATATCATAGAAATAAAACTTTAATCCGATATGTATTCCTTTACAGAAACCTTCTCCTGAATTTGACGAGTTCGACCTGATCACCAACCGCAACAAGAGTGAACTAAGCAACTACAACGCCTCCAACAACAACAATGGTAAACTACCAAGACGTCTAATCTTTAAACCGAGCTTATCGTATTCGAAACTATTTTTAGCCTCTTTGCTCGACGATATGGACCCGCTGTCGACGAACTACGGAAACGGAACCGGAAATGGCTCAGTGCATCCGTCAACGGGAGCCACGGCAAAGAAACCGCTCAAGGATCCGCACTCCTTCCTCGGCGAGAACTCTGCGTTGGTCAACTTGGACAATCTGATCAAGCCAGCTGGAACACAGGCGCCGGCGGGCACCGCACCGGCCTACAATCCCTTCAGCGACACCGTGATACCACCCAAGACAAATCTATTCCAGCAACAGCAGCCAGCCGTGAGTGATTCAGAACAGACATAAGAAGTTCTTAGGATAATTTTAAATTATATTCCAGGTACCGTCCATTAACCAGCTGAAACAACAGGCGCCCTTCGCCGTCAACATGAACCAGGATCCCTGGGCTCCTGTCATGGGTGGCGTGAGTGCGACCAACCAGGTGAGTTGCTTTACGGGTCTAGCTCATATTGGAGATGGAGTGCGTCCGCGGTTTTAGGGAAATACTTCGTACTTGTTTATATTATTACTTATTGTTTGAGGCTTGGCTCTCTAATGATTTATCGGTTATCTTGTTTACTTTTCTCCACTCTATCGTATCGTTTCCCGTGTGCATTTTGTCTTCCTTCTTGTCATTTCTTTCGATGAGAAACTATTGCATGCCAACCCAGCCGATATCCCAGCCAAAACTTCCGCACCCAGTGCGTCCAACTAGCCTCAACTTGGGGCCCTCGTCTGCGCCTGCGGGTGAATTTGAGCTACTGAGTGCGTTTAGTAATCCCATCATTCCCTCCGCCCTGAATCCCCGCCCACAGCCCAGTTCTCAGGTCAACAACTATCCGTATGCCAGCAGCAACGATGCCAACATGAATAGCTCCACCAGTTCCACCAAGAATGTCTTCGAGTTTGTGAGTCCGAGTCCGGGAATCGATGGCATCCGCAACATGGACCTATTCAGCGACCGTTCCTATTTCAATAGTCCGACAGCGCCGGCTGATGATAACTTTCTGTACTCGGGCAGCAACGACAACAATAATTTTGGCGAAACGCGCAGAAACTACGGAGCTTCGGGTCTCTATTCAAGCTATGCTGCCTCCTACAGCAGCGCCCTATCCCAGTCGTTGGCCGAAACGCCTGGGGTGAGCGTGGCTCCCATTGGCTTTGTGCCCGATCCTGTCCAGAGTTTTGGTCCAACGTCCTCATCGGCTGCATCGGCTCACTGCAAGCTGGAAGTGAGTCTTGTGCCGTCAAAGTTGCAGTTGCTGCCATGAAATTATACTTCCCCCAGCCAAAATTTGACGTTTCTTTAATTTGTTTGCTTGTGTTTCTTCGTTTGTTTAAATATTTATTTTAATTTTAGTTTATTTTTTACGTAATTTCCAAGTATGAATACAAGAAACTGCTAGAAGCAATGGAAACTGTGCTAATTTAAGAGTTTCCCTTGCTACTTATTCGAGAAATACGTACGCATCTTAACCAGAGGCTTGTTGCCATTTCAAGTTGATTTCCATAACATTTTCTAATTGTAGCCAACAATGGAGGCTTGGACGCTTAAATAAAACACATACAATATGCAATAAATGCAAATGGGTAAAATGATTTTCGAATGTGCATGCCCTGCTATCTAACTAGTAGTCTACCTCCTAACAAAACTAACAACTATGTAATCCGTAGTTCTTAACATGGCTGTTAGACTCTGCATGTAGTTTGCTTTTGGCCTACTGACTAGCTTTACTAAACCACCAATTTGGAATTGGAACTAACGTATCCTTTACGATTCTTGCAGCAAAACAACAACATGCCGTGGATTAAACCGGAAGCAGCAACCAATCCGTTTTTGTCGTAAACTGGAGCCCCATAAATCAGAAACAATGTAAAAGCAGGACCAGGTTCAGCAGCAACAGCAGGAGCAGCAGCAACAGCGGAGGGAACAACGACTAACCAAGACCTGGCTGGGTGTATGGAGCTGTCCAATAGCGTTAGATAAATAGCAAACAACAGAAACAGCAACCGCAACCAATTTTAGCTCTATATAACTGCGAGGAAATATGAATTAATTAATAAATTATGTGTAAGGAAGTATTATTAAACTGTAAAATATGTGATGTACGTGAGAGAGAGAAAGCCAAGATCCAGAGATAGGACAGAACAAGTAGAAGCAGCTTACGATTGAGCAGAACTTGAGTCTAATACATTTGCAATAACTAAACCATGTAAACAGCCCCATAGGTTAGCATTAGGCAGCTCCAACTCCGCTCAACTGACTCTGAAATTATTTTACCATACGATTCACATTCTAATTCTAATTCTACCCAACCAACCAACCACACACTGAGCAACGCCTTTAAGTTGAGTGGATGTCTGGGGATCCAATTGGCAATTCTTCTGTTATATGAGTTGAATCTTTATAGAGGCGATAACCAAAACAGCAAACGGCAGTCCAAGTCTTTAAACAAAAAACGTGAGAAAACGAGAATGGAAACTAATAAAAATTGTTATATAGCTTTAAATATTGCATTGGTAAAGAAAAATGAAAAATGTTAAAAACAAAAGATAATTCAATTTATGTGTGCTTGTAATTGTAAATTTTTAACTTTCTTTTTTGTAAAATTTTTGTGTGCGTGCATGTTGCAAAAGAAAACAAATTATTAAATGGCTTTTGGCTAAAAAATCAATTTTTAAAACACATTTGTACGATATTTTCGAGTTGACAGTTGATTTGTGTTTGTGCATTCGCTTTTGGTCCACCTTCAAGACACAATGCATACACAGGTTTGCTGTTGAACAATATTTTTAGCGACTAGTTTAAAATTTACAAAAGAAAACCCTTCGAAAAGAACACATATACAAAGAACAATATTTCGAGAGCAAAACGAAAAAACTATAATAAAGAAAAGCGATGGTATACATTTAGGCTAGAATACGTAATGAATTGTATAAGCGTAACTTAATGGTAACAAAATATACATATACAAAAAAAAAATTAAAGAAACCGATGCTTAAGAGATTTTCTAGCAAGCATACTTATATATTATACACCCCAACAACTCCTATAACAACAAACACACGAAACACACATCCAAAAATGCAAATTTTAAGCATATTTTCATATTATTAAAATTTTATTTTAACTAAAAAACAACTAAAACTGAGAAATCTGAGAAAATCGATGTAAAAGTCAGAGCACTTTTGATGGTCTGCTCCCATTGCACAACAGAGACCTATGCCAAGTGCTAAGCGGCAGGAGCATGTGGCTCATGAGTGGGCCAATGCCTGGAAGGCTCCACTTGACAGCCAGCGCCAGCATTCAACACTTTGTTGGGGCGCCAACAGGCCACCACCAGGCAAGCAGGCAGTCTGCCATCCAGGCAGAGGCAGAGGCAAGACACGATTATGTTAATTTCGGGGGCCGCAGAGTGCAGCATTAACGGAGCACGCCCACCGCATATGGCAGTGATATTTCGGTGAGCCATTCAACCATTCAGCCAGCTGGGATGGGATCGATGTTGGGGATGCGAATGGGGATGTGGATGTGGATGTGGAATGGATATGGATATGGATTGCTGGATGTGTTGCGCAAGTGGTTGGCAGCCGGCAGCCAGCAGCTAGCAGCCTGGCGGAGTCGCGTTTCGGTTTTGATATTTTGACATGCGCTGGGGGCCATCAGGAAACTTCGTTTAAATGAAATCAAAATGCACAAATACATAATTTACACAAATTTGCCGTCGAGCGGCGGTACAAGTTTATCGCCTGGCCTGGGCACGATGCGGCTCTTCAGACGGTTGGTAAAAATGATGGGATTGTATAATGGAGTCGGGTGTATTCCAGGAAGAAGAGCTCAACCAACAGGTAGAACTGATTTGAAGTAAAAACTTAAAAATATTTTGTAGAGCACTAGTTGATATTTATTTATTCTCAGCTTTTAAAACTCCCAAGATCCAGGATACATAATTAGCCAGTCTGGTGTAGACTCCCGGAAAATACAGATCGGCACAGCCATGGGCGAAGGAAACGATCCCGTAGCTAGTACCACGATGAACCAAGGGAGCTCCCGAGTCCCCAAAGCAGTGATCCCTTCCAGGAGCAGCTGCACAAATCATGTTTTCCGTGACGGGACGACTGATCCTCGAATAGAGATACTTGCAACGTCTTTGATTGATGAGATTCACCAGAGTGCCACGTAGCTGCTGCTCCGAAGAGGTTGAATTCACGTGCACAGTTCCCCAGCCGGCCACCAAGAGGGTCCTTGGAACCACATTGAGTCCGGGAATGGGAAGCTTTACAAGCTGTAGGTTAGAGTCCAAGTTAAAGGCCTTTTCTACCTTCAAAAGGGCAATGTCGTTGTCTAGGATGCGCAGATTGAAGCTGGGATGTAGAAGTATCCTGGCTACATTCCTCAGCTGTCCTCCCTCGTCAGGGGCTGAGGATCCTGCTCTCACGGAATACCTATCCGGGTAGTGGACACAATGGGCTGCTGTCACCAGCCACTGGGAAGTAATCAGAGCAGCACTGCAGCTATAATTCCCATGGACACTAACGGATGCCAGCCAGGGTGACAGATTGATGGGCAGTTCCACACCACCCACAATTCGTTCCTGCAGCGAGTTGGCCAAAATGTTATGGCCATTAAAAAGCAATAAAATCAGCGCCGTTAGCAAACCGCTTAGAGTCATTTTCAAAATGTAACTAAAAGTCGACTGCCTGACCTCTTGTTTGGCAACTTTGTTCAGAATCAAGAATGCTAATGACCTGACCCCCGGCGCTCGCGACCTACTGAATTCGGCATGAATATTAATTGAAATTCGAATATTTTGCACATTTTTTTGGCTTGCTGTATATTATACTTATTCTTTAAGTTTATTAATATATTTTAAAGTTGAATGACCTATCAGGATTGGAATGTAACTTGTATATCATTTTTTAAACCCTTAATACTTGCTCACAACTTTTTTCATCCACCTCACTTTTGTTTTTATATTGACATAGACACCCGGATAGTTGGCATTGGCGCAACCGATTCCAAAGGATGTTATTCCATAGAGGATTCCATTGTGGACTAATGGCCCCCCTGAATCTCCGGAGCAGGTGTCTTTATTCTTTCCCTTGGCACAGATCATAACTCTGTAGATCTTTATACCCGCTTTCCGGTACATTATTCGGCACTTGGATCGCCCTACCATGCACACTCGTGCTCTCCGTAAGTAACGCTGGACATTTTGGGCATTAGCCGAGGTGAGACCCCATCCGGTGACCCAGTAGCACCTCGGAAATCTCCTAATTTTGGGACTGGGCAGCTTCACGGGCTGCACCCCCTTTCGGAACTTGAGGGGATACTTTAGCTTCATCATTACTAGATCGTTCCTCATGGTGCGTTCACTGTATCCGCCGTGGGAGAAGATCTTCTGGACCTGGCGTACTTCACCGCCGCGCCTCTGCTGGGTGGAGCCAGCTCGAACAGTGTAGCTTCCAGGCCTGCCTATTTTGCAGTGCTGGGCCGTGAGAATCCAACGTCTACTTATGATGACGCACCCGCATATGAAGCTGTTCTGGTAATGAAGTGCACACTGATAGGGAGCCTGCCGGATGCTGATCTTCTCTCCGTTCACAATCCTGGTAGGCAAGTAGTCCAGGGATTCGAGGGCATTGATCGCGGGATTAGTTGATATATTCCTGTTGAGATAACTCGGCCGAGTCGCCTTTGGTTTCTCGTATAAAATGTAGTGGGTGCCATTGTCCTGGTAGTAGCCACTCCAAGCGGGACTTTGAAATTCTTCTTTTCCACTGGAGGTTGCCAGAAATAAGCAGTAGAACAGAATAGCAAGTCCATTGGCCCTCTTGAAAACCATTTCTTTGACTGATCACCTGAACCTCCTCGGGTAGACTGAGACTTGGCGGAATAAGATGTAACCTCATGACCTCTTAGTTGGAGGTTTACAATTTTTAGGGTCAAGCCAATTAGTTGGGTTTTGCCAAAACTTAACCCGCAGCCTTCCTCAACGAAGTATTGCCAAAACAAAGTTGGATTTAAGGCATCTGATTAATTAATTAAATATGTTCGAGAACTTTAAACATAATTAATGGTTGTAACGTTCATCTTTCACTTTTAATTTATAGGTTCTCTAAAGCAGAAAAATTTAAAAGATAATTAAGTTAAATAATTTTATTTTCTTATCAATTTATTGACTAATAATTCCTATACTTCTTAATACACTTTTGAATCCAACGAATAAATCGCTTCACATTCGTATAAACGCCAGGATATTTTCGTCTAGCACAACCGATGCCGAAGGACACAATACCGCAGAGGACACCTTTGTGGGTTAGTGGACCGCCGGAATCTCCGGAGCAACTGTCCTTGTACGGGGCAGCGGCGCAGATCATGTCCTTATAAATTTTCACTCCAGTCCCAGAGTATTTATTCTGACATGTGGACCGGGTAATTAAGTTTACTTCGACGATTCGGCAATATTTCTGAAGGTTTGCGGCATTCTCGGATGCTATTCCAAAGCCAGTGACAACAAGTTTTTTGGGGAACTTTGTAATCTTGGGGGAAGGCAGCTTGACTGGACGCAGGCAGGCGGTGAAAATAAAGCGGCTCTTGACCTTCATCAGGGCAATGTCGTGGCGCATAGTGTAGTCGTTGTAGCCCGCATGGGCTATAATGAGTTTAACTTTCCGTAGTTGACCACCACGATTCACCTGCATGGTTCCGGCTCGAATCCTGTACTTGCGAGCCGGTCCGATGACGCAGTGATGGGCAGTGAGAACATACCAATCGGATATGATAATGCAGCCACAGATGCCGTATCCCTCGAAGTGAAGGGAACACTGAAAGTATGCTTCTTTACAAGTAGCCCTTGTGCCATTCACAATCCTGGTGGGGAAATAGTCCTGTGTCTCCAGTTTATTGATAAACGGGTTGCTTGAAATATTTCCGAGTGTGGGAGGCTTGGGTTTCTCGTACAGAAAGTAGTGGGTGTCATTTTCCAGATAGTATCCTGACCACGAAGGAGTCTGTTGTTTGCCATCGATCTTCGCTGCCAGGATCAGCAGTCCGAGGGAAACGACGAGTTCCACAAACCGCTGGTTGTTCATTGCTAAGACCGTTCGCGATCACGACCGGGGGATGACTGAATTGAGGTCACCTTTCTGATCCACCTTTCGACCTTTTAGAAAGAGAGGCTGCTGTTCTTTAATAGCCTTCATTTTTAATTCAAAAAACCTGTCATTTGAGCATTTTCATGGAGGTTATGGTTAGCATTTGCAAATTTTAACCCAAGAAATGAAGATTCTAGACGAATTTATAATTTACATAAATTTGTTGATTGTGTTTGATGGTTTTGATATTTTAATACCAAATCTTAATATGACAACTTCAAATACATATAGATAGTATCCTAATGGGTTAATCTTTCCCTGACTTCTTTTAAGTCCCATTTTAGAACTTAGTCATCTACTATCTATGTGGGCTATTAATCATGAAAGTGAAATGAGGCGGCTTGAATGCGGGATTTCTTCAGTTTCTATGTATTGTCTTTTTAGCATAAAGTTTGCAAAAATTTCGCAATCAATTAATCTTTGTCACCCCTCTTCCCCAACCACCCACTCTTACTTCCAGAGTCGGAATTTTTTTGCAGCAGGTTTCAAGTGCCCATTTTTGGTAGGGCACCTCTTCCGCATGGCAGGCGGAGACAAAACAATAAAACTATTAATTTAATGTATATTTTGCGCAGCTTAATTATGTGCGAAATCACAGAGGGGACACAATGGACACGGCACAGGAATAATTAGGCAGCCAGGCGCTCGCGCACAAAAGTGAAAGGAGCAGCCATACCCGGCCTGGACTTGCACTTGGGGGCCGATAATTACATAAGCAGGCAGTCCAAGGAGGACTGCCAAGGCATATAGGCAGAAAATTCATTAGCTCGGCGCCTATGCAAATTTTTGTGCTTCGGCTTGAAATTTACGCGGGAGCTGCCAGCTGCCAGATAACCGATAAACGATAACGTTGGCATTTCACTCCCGCTTATCGGCGGTTCGGCGGCGGTTAAATGGAATGCCGCCCAAAGGATGGGAGTGGGATTGGAGCTGGTAGTGAGGATGGGGGAATATCTTTTTTGGGCCAAGTGGGCCAGCAATAATATCCGCCTGTTTCGTGTGGCGAAAAGCGTGAAGAATCGCAATTTGTATGGTTTAATTAAAAAATCTGTCAAATGCCAGGTTGTGTGCTCATTAATGGGTGCCCTGCCGCCGTACTTCGCCCCTCCCGTGAAACGGCAAAATCATGCTTGACATAGCATGAACTTAGCTCCAGACCATGCCGTGCCATTATAACGCTCGATATGAGCGGCTCACGTTGATGTCTGGCGGGAGACCGGAGACCGAAGACTGTTGCCTGCACACCTTTGACAAACCAAACGCCAAAACAAAAGACTCAGGCAACGAACGTGGTTATTAGGAGCCTGTCGCTGCGCCTCTTGCATAATATGTTGGGAACATTGGGCCAAATTGATTTTTAATTATGGCCTGCCATCAAAATGTTGAAATATAAATGAGGGGTTGTCGGTTCTGAGAAGATATCTCCTTTGGGAAGTACAGTAGAACTTCTAAGACTGCGGATAGTGGCTGTGGATTTAAAGAGTTTGTCTTTAGATGACATCATATGACCAAATTCAAAGTAAAAGATATTTAAATCCTCGTTGTGATCCACTGGATTACCCGCAATTCGGTGGCCGCAATTAAGCCATTAAAGTGCTCGGCTCGGCAGCAACTTTCATTTTCTGGCATAATTGAAACATAATTTTTGTAGTGTAAAATCGCAGCAGCCGCCACTCAAACACGCCAAGAAAATTTCACCCATTTCGCACGTTTCGAGCCGGGCCGAACCGAGTCGTTAGTTAATCATTTGATGGCATTGCGCAGCCTTTTTGTCAAGTCAGCACGCGAGACGCACCCGACCAGATAGCCACTCAACCAGTAGAAGATATCGGCAATTATCACCGGAGTCATCAGCTGCCGATACCGATAGCAAGTACTCCACATTGCACTCCACAGATTCCAGCCCCAATCCTCACAGTCTCCCAGTCAGATCAGGCGCACCCAGCTCCACCTCATCCAACCCGCTTGAGATCCGCCCATCACTTGGGAGAATTGTGACATTTAGACACAACAAATCATACCAGGCGGGGGATCATTAGGATGCACTTAAAGAAGTGATTATAATAAGGCTTTGGTAATTTAATTTAAAAAGGAAACTTTATGAATACCTTAACCTTGCCTTTATTGTATTTTCTGATGATTTGTTTGAATTATATATAAGAAATCCCTAAAAACTAAAAATGATCTAGTTTTTTTGGGCGCGGTGTGGTGTGCCAGTGTCTCCGGCTGTCTCGTTTTGTATGTCAATGGGTGTATAGAAATCGAAAGTTTCACACTTGTCAATTAAGTGTACCGAGTGGTGGCTCTTGTTGTTGCTGTTTCCACACTTCATCATGCGAGGCGGACTGCAGTCTGTTGGGGAGTTGCAGTTGAAAAGCGGCTGTCAATGAAAATGAAATTTTATTGAGATTTTTTTCCCCCTCCTCGATGCTCCTCGGGAACCCCATACGAAATTAATTAGAAAAGTGCCTGCATTTGTATCGGCGGCCGTGTCTGTTTGGGTAGCTTAATTGCTTTGACGTCTCCGTCTTGGCCGGGTTGGGTGTTTGGTGTTTGGTGTATGAGGTGTGTGGTGTGTGGTGTGCGTGTGTGGTTATATAAGTCGTAAAATACTTAAGCCATAATAATCTCCAATTGGAAACGACTATCACTTTTACTATCACCCGACTGGGTGCTCCGACTCATAAAGCTAACAAGCCAAAATCGCTGACTCTTCTAACCGACGATTCTGGTATGGAAGTGTGGCAGTGAAAGTAAATGCTCAACGGGGAGCGGGTGACAATGTTGCAACCGGCCCCGGCACCTATTTATGTACTCCTGCCTCATGCCACGACTTATGCAATCAATCTCATCCGTCAGCAGCATGATCGAGCTGCTCCCGCTGCTCATTAAACGCACATAATTGTTATATCGATTCAGGCACCTACTACTACTGCTACCCAGGCCCGCCAACGATCGACCGGTTGCATTCAATGGCCAAATTTGGTTAAATAATGCACGGCCGCTTTTACTTGACCAAAAAACCAAAAGACCCACAGACCAGCCAGCAACGAAAGCGAAAGTTCTTTTGTCTCGCCATGTTTCCCAAAAAGCAGCATCGATTCTTATCATATTGGAGGGTACCCACAGCCATACCCATATCCATACCCCTACCTGTAACCCCTCCTCGACTGGCAGATTTATGCACTTTTCATTTCACTTAACAACAACAAGAGCAAAGCTGCCTCCGGTACATGAAACGATGCCGAGGAGTCGCTGCTTGCCGGCAACTTTCTTTGCCACTCTGGTCGGATCTGGAGACCCATGCTCGCTGGCTGGCTCTCTGGCTGGGGCGATCGAAATTATTATGCGCATATGGGGGCGCCAACATTGGGACACTCGCTCCTCCTCACCCGATTCTTTAAATTGCCACTTGCACTTGACCGAGCACATCGAAGTGCTACATTGCCGCAGTGCCAGTGAGCCGCTGTGCCGCAGGGGGAGGCGGAATCTCGGCCAGGACATCGCAGGGGCTGGAGCAGGGGCTGGAGCAGGGGCAGTGAAAACGGATGCACAGTGACATTGTTAATTTGTATGTACAACTGCAAGGAGAAATAAAATAAATTGGTTGACATGGAAGCTGTAATTTAAGATTGATCGAGAGCTTACAAAATGTGTTTCAGATGAAATAATAGCTGCTATTAGGGTCATCGATACCATAAATATTATAAGGTTGGAAGATCCTTTAATTTTTGTGAATGTTAAATCTCTTATTTTAAAATTTATTTTATTTATAAGTAATTTTAAAAGCATGATAAACATTTTTTATTGGTTTTACTTTATTTTGTAGTTCTGTAAAGTTTTTAAAAGAACGTTGCTAAGACCATACGAATTGGCCAAAATAATGTCTTAATTTTTTATTAAGCCCCATTAAGATTTAATTACTTTTTAAACCACTGTACCTTCCAATGGGCCACCCAGAATGTGCGACAAACTGGGCCCCAATTAAGTTTGCAGCATTTTAATCGAGCCGATGCGTTTTTCAGGCATTAAGTTTTGAGTTTTTCAGTTCACAGGTTGCTTTAATTTGTGAAAGTTTTGTGTAAACAATTGCCTGGCCCGGGTCTGGGCCTGGCCGAAAGCCCGAAAACCCTCGGGGCCCTCAGACCTCGGTGGCAGTCCTCTTTCGGCCATAAATTCAATCAGGCGTGGCCACGGGGATCGAGATCGAAAAAGGTGTACACGAGATGGGCAGACGATGTCAATATATCTTCTATATACCGTACACATAAACATATGGCTTGGGTTGACATTGGCTTAAAATATTTGGAGTAAAACTGATTTAATTGACGTTGACGTTGCGTAATCTTCAGCATTGGCCCTGGCCCTTGGATTGGCCGCATCCTGTCAGTTTAAAGCGATAACAGCACCAATCAACTGGCCAATAATGTGGCATAATTGGCCAGCCCATTGAAGTAGAGCCCCCTTGCCGGGGCTTCGACTTAACTGGGTTAGTGGCGCCGGCGCCAGAGCCAAAGCCACAGATTTTAAAAGGAAAACAAAACCAGAAAAATACAAAAAAATAAACCAAACGAGGCCCAGGGAAAACTGCAGAAAACGAAGCCAGATCGTCGACCAGTTCGTGTCATGTGATTTTTATCGTTAATAGGAAACAACTGCAGCAGCAGAAAAGCTACAGAGACAAGTACAAAGCCAAAGAGCCGCCGATTGTTTTTGTTTTTGTTTATTTTTTTGTGGGCCTAGCTAGTTTATATACTATAGTATCGAACTGGGACTGCCAGACCAACAAATGTTGTATTAACATGAAAAGGGTTTTTATTCAATTGCAGGCAACATGCACCACCAAGAGTCTATACTCTAAAATAAATAAATAAAATATCAAGTCGAATCTGTGAGTCATTTTACACCATAAGAAAAAAGGATACTGACTAAACCTT